AGCGGGCCGGGCTGGATCCCGTCAGTGCTGCGAGCCCTGGGCCGAGCGGGTCGGGGTGGGGTCTGGAGCGGGCCCGACCGCCAGAATGAGGAGCAGGCGGGGCTGGTGCCGCGGGCAAGGAACGTCGGTGTGGAAGGCGCAGGGCTGGAGCGAGTGCAACAAAGACAGGGAGCTCCTGGAGCTCCTGGGTCTAGAGAAGGGCAACAAAGACAATGAAGGGACAGGAGCATCTCTGTCACAATGACACGCTGAGAGCTGTGCCCGTTCAGCCTCGATAAGAGAGGACTGAGAGAGGACCTCGTCAATGTGTATAAATATCTAAAGGGAGGGTGGAGCCAGGCTCTCCTCAGAGGTGGCAAGCAATAGGGCAAGAGGCAACTAGTGGCGGCTAGTGCGCAGAAAATTCCACCTGAACACAAGAAGAACGTCTTTATTGTGTGGGTGACCCTGCACTGGAACAGATTTCACAGGCAGTCGTGGAGTCTCTCTCACTGGAGATACTCAAGAGCCACCTGCATGCAGTTCTGTGCAATGTGCTTCAGGATGACCCTGCTCGAGAAGGGAGGTTGGATGAGATTGGAGGTTTTACCCGCTCTGCTCCCTCCCAGCCTGGAGACCCATTTTGTGACGCTGCGATTCTGTGGGACCTGAGCTGGGCTTTTGCACCCCCAGGGGCCTGCCCAAAAGCTGTGATTGCACAAGGCAGGGGAAGGCAGGCAGAAAAAATAAAAAGGCTCTTGTGGATGAAATAGGTTTATAGGGAAGGGTGAAGTAGGAGCTAAAATTACCAACAGAAGAACTTCATCGGGAGGAGAGGAGATGAGTAATCAACCAGCAATATTTTTTAGGCTCAGGTGATAGATAAGAAACACTGAAGGATGGGCGTGATGGCAACAGCCAGGAGCCTTCAGTGTGATAAACCCCAAGTTGTAAACATTAAAACCAGTAGACATGGAGACCCAAATCTCAACTGCTTCTACAAAAACTCTTGGTATTCAGATATGCTTAAAGAAACCAAAGCAGTGCTTTGAGATGCAAGGGAGAGAATGAGACAAGAGAGAAGTGTCCCTTCCTTGGATCCCTCCTAGCTCCCAACACTCCTCTGCTGCTTACAGGTGCAGCTGTGAAGAGCTTCTGCCACAGCTTAACCCCTGCCTGGTTGTTGGCATGTGCACTTCTGGCCACACTTTTGCCAGAGTTGAAATCCTCAACAAGAAGGATCTTTTCCTTGCTGTCCCCCAAATGTGATTTTCAGTTTGAAACAGTAGAAGAATGAAATATAAAATGGCCATAAAAGTAAGGGTTTGAATGTAAGCCTTAACTTGAAAGACTTAGAAATTTCTGTCTTTTCAGTTTGTCATGGAGAAGAAGAGCAAAAGTTGATTTTATTGTTCAGTGTAGGCTCCTAGATGGGACATGGAGGTTTGGGGAAGCAAGGATTACATTTCACAGAGAAGCTTCAAAGGGTGTTATGCTGAGATTTTGCTGGATTATGCTGGATCTTGAATAAAGATGGAGTTTACCATTACTAAAGTGATTTAATTGTTAAAATTGACCAGCAAAAGTGGTGAATCTTATGTTACTTGGACCTGCTGAAAGAAGCTTTCTAGAAAAGCTTTGGTCCAATCCTAGGGTGAGATCCTGCAGACCATCTATTCAAGAGAGAGCAGATCCCAGCTGCCTGCCTATGAATTTACATGTGGGATAACTCCAGTCGGATGTTTTGCTCTTTGTACCAAAAGTGACATACGTAGAGTCACGTTTACTCGTGCCAGCTCAATGGAAGTGCTCTGGGGTCTGAAGCTGCACTGAATCCTTCCCTTTAGGGAAACCCTTAGCTGATCAGGACTCAGGCAGTCACAGACCGGGCATTTCCAGAATTTGGGAAAGGCACTAGAGGGTGCTGTGCTGAAGGAGAAGAAACGGGATTTGTATCAGCAGGAAAAACCATCCTGACCTCTGCAAGGTGAAGAGCCACTGTCTCCATCTTTTTTCCTCTGAGACCGTGTAGGCCCCTTCCTGCAGTAACAGCCGTGTGCCTTTTTCCTAAAGGAGGGGATCGATAGACACTGGTTTTCCTGAAGCTTACACAAACTCACATAAGGAGTGCTGAGATCAGGAGACAAAGAGTGCAGCCTGATGTATAAATATGAACCTGATGACAGTCAAATGGTAAAAGATTGGTTGAACATTATTAAATGCATCTTTTAAAGGCAAGCCCCAGGGCAACCTTGGGTGGGGGACACCAGAAGTGCTTGCAATGCTGTGTCGCTGTGGCCTGTGACAGGGCCATCTGAGCAGGACTCCTTCCCATCCTGAGCTGGTTGGATCCAGGCCAGCTTGGATCCAAAAGCTGGGGCTGTGTCTTCAGCACTGTAGTGCACATCGGCCAACAGGCCTGGCAGGATTTATGGTGCTGGAGGATTGCTCAGAGCAAGTCCAGATCTGTTTAGAAAAGGTTTTTTATGCTGGGGAAGCTCCCGTGGCTCAGTTCCAAGGAGCACAAGTGGTAGGTGAATCCTCAGACAGTACAAGCAGGTGCTGCCATCCAGCAGGAGGTGTGGGGAAGGAAACCAAACCCCTTGACAAGGGGTCAAGGGCTCACAGGTGCTTTAGGCACTTGTGTGGTGCCTGGGACAGAACAGATTCACTTCAAATAACAGTGCATATTTAAAATGCTGCATTTACATTTCTTGTTTCTCTGAAGGTCAAGATGAGTTACCCTCATTCAACGTATTGGCAGGTGCATTTAACGTATATTTTATTTTCTGTAGGGAGCATCATCTTCTTGGGAACCTGTCTACCACAGAATGGTTTGGGTTGGAAGGGACCACAGCAGGGATGCCATTTACTAGATCCTGTTGCCCAGGGCCCCATCCAACCTGGCCTTGAACACCTCTGGGGATGAGGCAGCCACACTCCAGTGTATCTTCTGTGTATCTTCAGTAAAGAAAATGTAGCAATCCAGGAGGTGTTTAGAGTACCAACAACCCCTGCTTCCATTTTGTGTTACATCTTCCATTTCAGCAGTTTTCAACCGTTTTACATTCTGAGTCACAAGTGTACATCCAGGGGAAGGAACAAGAACAAAACTCTACCTGCATTTTTTAAAATACATTAGAAAAATCCCAGCAGCGTTCACAAGCTCAGAGAGAAGCTCAGCTGCTACCCCCCTCCTCTTGCTGAATAATTCCCAGTTTGCTTCTGGCTACAGCCTCAGTGGCTACTGTAGGAAAATCCCACCTGTGGAGGAGGCCCTATCTTTTTATTACCAGGCTGTTTAGCTACAGTTAGCTACTCTTTCCATTTTTTTTCCTGTTGCCTTCAGCGGGAATAGGGAGGCTTGAAGAGAGAATCAGATTTTTTGCATTCTGTTAATATCAGTGAACCTAATACAGTCATAAAAAAATTAAAAGGTGAAGGCAAATCAACAGCAACAACAAAGATCATGTAAGAATCTGAACTTTTTGATTTCTCAAGCAGCTTGTAAAATTACAGCTTCACCAGCATAAAGGCAGTCATGGTGTTTTATGCTGGCTCTTCACAGCTTACATGTTTCAGCTATCTTGATGACTTTCAGTTGAGATTGTAAGCATTACATTTCCTAATTTGGCTGCTTTTTTTATTCAAAGTGTAGCTATTCCTGTAGATAGGCACCTTGCTTACAGTAAATAAGTGCCAACATCAGTGTACCAGAACACACAAACTGTAATTTGCACGTCTAGACTTTATTATTACAGCATTTCAGTTGCAATTTATCCCAGACACACAAGTCAATGTAATTTCACACTTCATTATGTCTGCTGCTGTTTTCTCAAACAAAATCAGCATTAAAAAAAAAACCTGCAGAACTTCAGCATTACTAAAACACTCTGGAAATGACAGTAGGTGCCAGTCTGTAGAGCAAAAACCATTTTTCTACAATTCCTCTTCTCACTAGTCACTAGCTATTCATAACAGGGCTTATGCTATTTTTCAGATTAATGAAATACAAAATTACACTATACTACATTTATTAATAAATTACTCAAGCAAAAGATTTTGAGCCTGCAGAGGTAGCCAGTTACACATAAAGGAAAGCAGAAAAGTAATCCACAACCTAATCTGAGTGTGGAGAGACCACAGGCCTTTCCAACTCTTCCAAATTCCTATTATAATATACATATTTAAGTAGATGTATTTGATCATCTTACTATATTTTTCCCTTCCCAGTATGTGACAGGAGATTAAAGCAGGTCCCAATTATCCCTCATATTGCTTGACAAGCTCACTGTCAATGTGAGTGGTGATCTGGAAGGCTGTCTTCAGTGAGCTCCAGCCACAGCTTTGATATTGCTGACATTTCAGATACAGCGAGCTCAACACAGAGGAACTTGCTGAAGTTACATCAATGCCTTCAATTTATCTGTACTTCCCCGCTCTGTGACCTTCAAAGGACGCACAATGATTCACATGTAATTTGGCCTTACTGCTCTATTGTTCTGCAGGCCTTGGTGGATTCCCCAGGGAGATTTATGGACAGCTAGCTTCATGGGATGCACATGGCTGTTCCAAAAAAGCCCAAACAAGCCTAATCCCAAAACCCCCCACCAACAAAAACTGCCCTGTCTTTTCAACAGTGTTCCCTCCCACAAATAAGTGGAATTTCTGAAACTCCAAACCTGCATCATGAAGGATGAAGCAATCACAAGGCCAGCTAAGGGTGGTGATTGAATAATAAATACAAATTAGGCTACTACAGCAGGCCATGAGAATAAGGAAATTAAAACATTTAATATGGTATTTACTTATTCATGAGGAATAGTAAAAGAAGAAAACAAAACCTTCCAGATTGCCCTGGGCATTATGATGCAAATGCACCTTGTACTTGGAAACTGTTGCAATGTCTGAATGCTTAGAAAGATGTATAAGCTGCAGTCAGGAGAAAACACCATGCCAGTCATTTTCAAATGGGTCTTTCCATAAATTACTTTATTTCTCATTAAATGAGCACAGAGTCATTACCATATTAATAACAGATATGTTTATTATTACATATCCATCAGTGCGGCTTTCAATACCACTTGAAACATGCAAATCGTCCTAAGGACGAATCAGTTTTCCAGTGCTTCTTATTTAATACACAACTGCAAAGCCATATAAATTATTGAGGAGGTATTTGGTTAAGAAATAAAATAAAATAAAACCATACTGCCCATACCATGAATGTATTCCTGCTACAAAGCAAGAGTCTGACAGCATTTACTGAAATTCCTGAATTTCACCCAGAGCTTTTTTGTCTTTTTTTTTCTGCATTGCCTACTCATCTCTTGGCTTATGAAAAAGAATCAGTCTTTCTTTGTAAGAGGAATTCTCACTCAAAGATTGTACTTAATTTAGAAATGTATCTAGCATCTACAATACTTCAACCAATTATAGTTCAGTAAAAACTACTGATATGCAACAGCTTTTTAGAGGTTTCTTTTGTTTAGTTTTAGGTTTCTACATTTATTGACATGGCAATAATACAATTATCTCAAATTAAGGCACTAAAAGAACAATGTAAAACCAAGTAAAAGTGTTCTAAGAATAATTTACAGTTCAAACAGTGCATATAATTCTTAAATGTTTGTTAACTTAATGTATGTTATCACTTAAAATTGTAAGGCAATACATTATACAGTAATAAAAATGATGTACCCCAAAATATGCTTCCAAACTCGGTGGTTCTTTTTATTGTTAGTTTCTAATGCCTCTAACAATAAAATGATTCAGTATGGCTTGGCAAAAATGCATAGATTAAAGGCAATTGCTTGTTTTCCCCCCTTTACAAACCTGCTGCACCAGTATTTTGTAAAGCGTAATGCAAAATATTTAACACTTTGATCCATTCCATAGTGGGTGGTTAGCATTAAGGCTGTAAAGAACTCTGCAGTGAAGGCACTGAAGTTCAAGTGATAAGGCTTCATTTTAAGCTAGTTCTGCAGTCTTCAAGAGCACAACTTAAGAGTCTTGAAAGCAATTGCAGTCCTTCTCACTGAGAAACCTTCCTCTTCTACTCCGTTCCATATGCTCATCTTGACATAAATATCCCCTTCACAGGGTTAACAGTCTTTTTCTTTCACTGGTACGAAGAAAGTTGGCTGCGTTTCATTGTGACTGACAGGCTTTTTTGAAAAAATCCAAAAGGCAGCACCTTTTTTATATACCTAGCTAAGCTTTATTTGCTTTAACTTGCATTACATAGTAATAATTAATCTAATCTACCTTGAGGCAAACCCGCAATTAAACACCCTCAGCGTGCTTTTGTGCCAAAGCAAGGAGTAGACAGTAATAGCAATCTTAACCCTGAAGCCTGTGATAGTTATGTTGAAAGGAACAACAGCCCGTCTGCACTGCTCTGTGTGGTTAAAAAAAGCCCTGTTTCTCTGACTGCATCCCATGAGGTTCCATTAAGCACTGAACATGTGGTTAGCTGGAACAAAAAAGAAAACAGACAATTAATAACAAATATAAAAATTAGCTTTGTAACACTAGTGCGTGTTTGCCAAGAGCCTCAGTGAAGAAAATACTTGATTTTAACAGAATTCTTTTTCAACTGACAAGGTACAATACTAAAATCATACCTACATCATCCTCCACAAACTGTTCTCAGTTTCAAACAACATTAAGCAAACACAGAGATCAAACAGATGATAGTATTACTGTAGCTTTACAAGTAAGCAATTAAGAGTCAACAATCATGGGTGTATTCATGGCAAATGCAAGGTGACCCTCTTTCACTTGCAGGACAAGAAAAGGCTCTCTAGGCTAAGAGCACGCACATGCAGTTGCAGAGCTCATCTGATGCACAGACATTTTGCTGGTTGGTTGTTTTCCTCTTCAAACATGCATTAACTTGACCAAGTGCCCAAGTCCAACTGTATTAAAACAAAAGATCTCAGCTGTGCTAATACAATGTGAATAAATCAGCAGACTGGAAGCTATAAAGTGTAGGTTCTGATCTCGAAGCAGTACTGCAAATGCCAGCAAGTTCATCATGAAGTTCTGATTCATTGTCATTAGTGATAAGTTCTTAAAATGCGGAATAGAACTTAGGATGAACTTTTATATGCAAAGCTCTTTTCAATGGGTCTGAGACACCTCTCCATGAAGTCAAGGAAGCACTGCCTACTGACTGCAAAGAGAGGTGGGTCAGACCCTGAATGAAATGTACTGAAAGGTCTTCAAGCATGTGTTCAAGTCTGTATCCATTCAACAAAACAGTTAATGCCTGCTTACATGGTAGGACTCCATCACCGAGGGCAAGTTCTGCTATACTGTCTGACAAGAGAACAATTTTCAGATACTCAGTAAAAGCCAGATATGTATATCCCATAAAAAATCATTACTGCTTCTTTTATTCCCACACCTAGGTAAAGTGGTGAGGGAGGAGGAGAACTGCAGGATGCATGAGTCCATAGAGGCTGATCCAATAACTGACTGCCTCCTGAGAGGAGAACAGCCTGGTGTTCCTCTGCTTTATCCCTGACCCCAGCAGAGCATCCTCCAACTTACCTGTCCCTCAGCTTTGGCCATCCCTGCACTTCTCAGTGCACTGATCTACTCACTAGCTTGGCACAGTTAGTCTACATTTTTTTGACAGTCAGGAAACTGAATTGTGTACCTTCATGGAAGGGTCCAAAATGGATCATTTTGAACACTTATCTAGGATCCAAGGACAGAAAAGAAGGAAAAGAAGACAGAGAGGGAAAATCCCCCCCTTTAAGTAGCAACAGGCTGTCAAATCAGCTCAGCTACTGTGCTGAGCTACAAGTTAACTGCTCAGTATATAAGCCACACTGTGAATTTATTTAATAAGCCAAATTTAAATATTGGTACATTAGAAGGGAATTTTCCTAAAATAAATCCATCACCTCTTCTTTTTAAACACACAGGACAGAATATGAAGTGGTATCAGGGCACAGGCTGGGCACAGTCCATCAGAGCAGTACTTGTCTAGTTCATAGATACAACTCACAAAATATTTGTCTGAGGAAACCACAAAAATGTCCACAGTGTAGCTGCCAGAATGAAGAATTCCAGCCTGGCCTTTTCCTAATGCTTCTTTGCTCAGTGGAACTCTGAATCTTTTCATTGTTGGCTCTCACTGCTCTGCAGGTGCCATGCAGGACCCACTGCACTCCAGTCAACCCAGTGCCAGCAGTCTGATGGGGACAGAGTGTCACAAAGACACCCAGGGAGCCCCTCCAAGGGCCCCACCTGCCTCCTGCAGACATCTCCAGGCACCACGACAGGCAGGAGCACACACACACCCAGCACCCCTGCTGCTCAAGTGCTGTGCCTCTCTAAATGGCTTGTGCTCAACAGGACTCTTTCTCCACAATCAGCAACTACAATATGCAGCATTGAAACAGAGTTTCTTGTAATTAATTACATGTTCTAGAAGCTCTGTCAGTATTTGATATCATCAAGAAGGAAGATATCAGTTATGTCATCAAGTTCACTGATGGATTTGGGGTCAGTCTAGAAGAGTAATGTAAATGTTAACTGTTTGATCCATGTCACAGCTTGTCAGATAAATTCAAGAAGCTAAAGAAGTAAGACATCATGCAGGTATTAACTTCTGAATTGACAGAAAACCTAAGAGCTTTATTTCTTCCTAAGAACTTGGAAGATCTCCTTGGGTGAAGGAAAAAGGTGTGAGCAGAGGTTGTACACCAGGGCAGCTGGGAAAAACGCAAGGCTGCAGTATTTGGAATAGCTGATCTGACCTGACATCCACTTGTGCAAGACCATCACCATCATCCTTCCTCCTTTTGTTCTTGAGACTCTGCCCCAAACCTCTGTAACTTCTGAACCCAACAGAAAATCACAAGCTTTTCTTTTGTGGAGTTAGGGTTGGATTGTATTTGTTGTCATGCTTTGGGTTTTTTGGCTTTCCTTTAGGCAAAACATTCCTGGATTAATTTTCTGCTGAAAAATAGATCAGCTCACTCTGGTAATCTGTGAAGCATGAACTGACACAAGACAAAGTTCAGGAATGTGCAGCTGTCCTCCTTCTGGTGCTGGGGAGCTATTAGACTCATTGTACCTTTAGGATCTTAAAAACAGAGCTTTAATAATGGTGTTTCTCATTTTTTAAAGAAGTTCCACTCCCTAGTTGTGCATTTCTGTGATTCTGTAACGCTCTCAACAGGACAATGCAAACAGGATTAATAACAGCAATAGTCTGGGTAACTGATGTCCCCAAACATACCCATTCCTATAACAGTTACTGCAAACTTTCAAATATCCCAATCTGTTCCTTCTATAACAGATTTGCAGCCCACTTATCCTTGCTAAAGGTAACTTCAAACCAGGGCTTCTATTAAGAGAGAGTGAAAAAGAATCAATTAATTGATTCAAGAAAATGGATTTTTCTCACATAAGAACATGCATGAAAGCTGGTTATTACAGCTACCAGAGGACCTCTCAAGGATAAATGGAGAGCATACTCAGAATCAATTTTAAGAGTTTTTGGAAGAAAAAGTCTACAACTCTAAACATCTAAATGTGAAATAAAGAAGTATGGGATTATCTTGAAGGCCTTCACTGAATATATTATGATCTCAAAACTATGATCCCTGGGAGTGTTCAAGGCCTGGCTGGATGGGGCCCTGAGCAACCTGATCCACCATGGCAGAGTGGGTTGGAACTAGATGATCCTTAAGGTCCCTTCCCACCCAAACCATTCTATCATCACTTATGTTTTAGGATGGAAGTCTTAGGAACAAGAAAATCGATGTCCCTTTTGTCTTTCATATTTTTTCTCATCTGTTCCCTTCAAGAAGGATGTCTCATGATATACCCCATGTCTCCTTATACAATAATGTAAGGAGACATGGGGTATAACATATAATAAAGGTCTGCTTCCATTGCATTTATTGTCAGGTATGTTTGGTAGACCTGCCAATCTGGGAAGACTCTTTCCTTACTGAGACACTAGTTTCTACTCCATACTGTCAATTCATTCAGTTATTTGGGGAGAAAACAACACATATACTGTATCAGGAAGCTAATAAAGGTTAAAATCAGATTACAGCAACCTAAGCATTAAAAAAGTGTATTTTACATCATGTCCTGGTTAATGGACAGGATGTAAAATGTCCATTATGCACAGGGTAACAAATAGTTTACAAAAACAACTGCTGGGACAGAAGACAACTGGGAATGAGTTTGCAGGGAGGAAGAATAGAATTAATACTTAACTGGCCTCACAACAAAAGAACTGGCCCAACAACAAACAGAATCGGTAAATTTCTCATTTCAGCCCCTTTTGCAGAACACTTCTAGTGTAGGCAAGCTCTGAGTCAATCCATGGATGGGATGACTGTGGATCACCCTTGCTGCTAAATGCCATTACTGACATATCCACTGAGCCTTGCCTTTACACACGAAGAAAAATGAAAGCAGCTCCCTCCCAAGCATTGGCAGGCCAGGTACCACCTCCATGGTACCTTTCCAAATGTGAAGAGCTGATAAATTTGCCATAATAAGAGGAGAATTCTGCTCCTTCCTTTGGAATTTGAGCTAAGTATCAGCACCTCAACAGCCATAACTATGGAATTATTTCACAAGTAGGACTTATAAACTGAGGGGTTTTTAGCCAAGAAGTTCTGTAGTTTTTGTAGCTTATTTCTCACCTAGTTTTTCCAGAAGTATTTTTAACAGCTTTTCGGAATGACTGGTTTGCTGAGGATCTTGTAGACAAAGTTCTAGGAGAAGCACGAACAAAAGTAGATGGTGGTGTCTTAGGGATCTTTTTTACTAAATGTGTCACCCACTTCTTCTGTTCATCTTGACAGGATGCCAACAGGAGCATATCTCTTGCTGAAGTTACATCATAACTCACTACAAGGAAAAAGGAGGAAGATGATTCAGTGAAAACCCAGGCTCCTTTTCAAAGTAAGAGTTATGACATACCAACTGTGTCACTGGAAGGAACAATGGAACCTATATACATTCTTGTATTGCATTTGTTTATATATTTTTTGAAGACAGCAAACAGCGGGGAGGATTATGAATATAATGTTTTTCACGATTTGTCATTCTGCATTAAGATTCTTGAGTCTAACATGAGCATTCGAGAAATTAAAAACTTACACTAATTACAATTTTAATAATCTGGAAAGTTGTGTGAGAGCTTGTGGCCATGTTCCAGAGTACATACCCTGAATGCTCCACTTCACAGCAGCACAGAGGAGAAACTTTTCCTCCAGTCTGTGAGGTGGCTGAAGAACCACTCTGCAAGGTCTCAGCATCTCAGCAGAGCTTGCTGATGCAGCCACTGCAATTGTCCCTGGTATGGGTCAGGTGTAAGTGCAGAGGGAATAGTGAGGGCACCAAGGAGCTGCCCAGTACTTGGGAACAAACCTCTAGGGAACCTTGTGCTCTCAGGGCCCTCAGCAGAGCTCCATCAGCTACACCACAGACCTCCCTACAGAGGTTTGCCACAGCTGCCTGTTCATAAACACTGTAACAGCCTATTGCTTTAACAACTTCCACATCTAAAATCACTTCAGTTTTAAGTTTAATTTTAAACTGAAGTGCTTTTATTCACCTCCAGTAGTTCAGCAGGTTTGGCTTAAACACATGGAGAATACAGAACAGAAAAAACCATGAGTATACCTTTGCATGGTGCAATTAATTCCTCCTTTTTATCCAAGTGGTCTCTGTGGCACTTCACATGGCATCTTCGACATTCTAGGGCAGCAGGGGGTTTAAAGACATGCCAGAGAGGTTTGGCACAGGCCTCACAGTTGGCTGGGAAGTGGTATAACGTGGGAATAAATTCATGGCCTTTGTGATTTAGAAAATTTGTCTTCTCTGCCGGCTGTACTGGTTCTACCTCCAAATCCTTCCTGCATTCCCCCTCATTAGCATAGAGAATCTGAAAAAGAACACTGCTGTGTTACTGTTGAAGCACTAAGTACTTTTACATCCTCTTCAAAGAAGCCACCACTTTTTCAAGAGAGTTAAATAGACAGGAGAATATATATCTTTTTACCTGGAATATTTTAGGAATTTCTTCAGTTTCGGCTCTATATACATCTCCTTGAGTTACAGGCCGGACATGAAACAGCTTACTAGATTAGAAGAAACATGAATCAGAAAATGCTAAAAAGTTATGTATGGTTCAGAACAATTACCAAACTGCTTTGAAGTTCTCAGAAATTATGCAAGCAACACGACCTACTTCAACACTGCAATATGGTTTTGGGAACTAATTCATAAACCATACAGATTTTGTCTACCCACATAAGATCAAAATACTTCACAGCATGGAAAGAGGATTATCTTACAAGGGATTCAAGATCCATCACAGTAAATTTACTTAAGATAAAGGCATTAAAATACTTCCTCAAAACACTAGGAAGTCTAACATTATTGCTAGAAAAAATTTGTGAAAACCTGGATGAAAGTAACCATATTAAGTAGAATACTATCCAGTAGTTTTTTACTAAATCACATTGATGAACAATCTATGCCAAAACACCACAAAAGGAAATCTGGGGCACCAGCTGTTGAAAAAACTATTTAAATTGTAACAAACATCATGTGAGTCAAGACTCTAAGTCCACCTCTCCCAAGATCCTGTTTTCAACAGTGGCTGTAGCAGATGTTTATGAAAACAGAGTACGAAACAGTTCTAAGGAAAAATAACTCTTTTCCTGGTTATGAGCAATTGGCAGCTGAAGCACTTCCTGAGTTTGAGAGTCCTTCCAGACCACTGTAGCCCCTGATACATCTATTCACGAATTCTAAAACCTTTTTTCAATTACTATTCTGTAAGATCCCATAATGTCAATCAGCTGTTCAAACATCACAGTCATGTACCAGTGAGGGGCTTCAGTGATATTTGATACAATTTTCCTCATGTATAACCAATATAAGGGAATCACAATTAATATATTTTACCACTTCAAACAGAAAACAGCTGGAAAAATTAGAAATGCTTTGGACTAGAACAGCAATGATCCTTTCTCTTTTTCTCTAACTTATAGCAATCACAGGACAAAGAGCAAGTACTGTCAAAGTTCTGTTAATGGTACACTAAAATACACATAGACATTTTCCAACTAGTATGGGAAATTAAAAATTATTTATGGAATTTTTATTTCAAGCTTCTGGATTTGCTATCTGCTATTTCACACACAACACTCTTTTGTCAATTTGTATCCAAAACTAACAATGACTTTACTTACTCTATATCTAGTACCATAGATGGATTAGACTGGTCCTTGTCCTTTTCATCATTGTAGAACAGTATCTTTTTACTACTCACCACCACATACTGTGGAAAGAAAGGGTAAAATAGTTGAAATTGCATTTTAAAAAGCAATAATTTATCCTAATATACTCCCACATGCACATAAAAAGCCAGAATAAATGAAAGGTTTCAAATTAACATCAGGAGATATTCAAATCACCCTGAAGGCAGCTAGACTACAGACAGCTGTGCAGTGCTACAGCTGCAGTGACTGTATTGTCCCTGGATCACTCTAAAATGCTTGTGATGACTCTGCAAGTCCATCTGTACACAAACTCACAAATGTCAGCTGCCACTGGCAGGTCACTAGAAAATTTACTGTATCACTGAGTGTGACACAAAGCAAAAGCTATCACTTATTGACAATGTTGTCAAAAACTTCTCCAGTTCTACAGGCCTGCAGGACTCACTGGTACTTCACACCAAACTGCTGGTTAAAACAGAGTCCCATGGCTCCTGCTATTTCCTACACTCCCAATTTAATGGACTGGTAAAATAAAGAGCCCAAATGAATCAGCAGAAACAGAGGTCTGGTACTCATAAATACACTAAGATAGTGAAGAACAAACACCTCTAACCTAAGCCTGTCCCAGTAAGTTCAAGTCTGGAATTCACTGCCTGCTGCTCTTCACTGGGAGTTGCTAGTCTAAGATCTTTGCTGGAACTGTCCACAAGCATAAGCTCAGTGACAGCCGTGGCTGCTCCCTCCCCTGCAGTTTCAAATGTTTTAGAAGGAACTGTAAGATACAAGATACTAAGGAGGATTAAAAGGAGAGAAACTGGCAGCTCTGTCTACACTGATCTCCAGATTCACATATAATATAACCCAGAAGGACAGAAAAGCATGAGAGTGAATGCACCACTAGTTCATCTCGAGTCCAAGTACTGGCAGGTAACTGGATGGGTTTCTGCACAATGCAGATACTGATAATTTGAATAAATGTCTACTCCTTCTACAAAGGGAGGCTTCAACCTCATTGTACACAGCATTGCAGCTGACCTCAAAACCTGAGTATGAAAGTCACCTTAAGTTTATACAACAGCATTTTTAAAATGTGCTGTGCAAGGTGTGAGCTACAGTTGTAAACCTCAATTACTGAAATGCATCTAAAAAAAGCCATGAAAGGGCGTTTTGTCACAATTCCTTAATAGAAAGCCTGATCAGCTTCAGTAAGCACTAAGTGTGAACCTCTTGTGATTTTTCCCATTGAAGAAAAAGATTGTACTTCAATTCCTTTAACCACTCCAATAGAAAACTAATGCCTTTTTCATCTTTGAAGTGTGCACTTCACCTTTCAGAGATCAGAGCAAGCCCTTCAGATGACAACTGTCACAAATGCAAGTTCTGGCTGTAAAGGAATTCAATTATCACACTATAGATAAGCCTTGGTGAAAGAACAACTTAACCTCACAAAAAAAAGTTATCTACAACAGCGTCAATATCCTGTTGTGAACATATAAAAAAATATTCTGACAGTAGTTCTGTTCTACAATGGTTTTTGAAGGATATTTTATTACCTTCACTGGGGATGAAATGAAACTCCAGATAAAAATAAGGGTAATCAATTTCAGTGCTAGCTTTAGGTGTAACAAATGTTTATTCTCAAGTAAGTTTTCCACACTCACCCCCTTCTAACTTAAGCTAAATAAGTCAGAGGGCACTGGGGAAAAACATCAGTACTACTGACATTTGAGACAGAAATGCAGCAGCTCAAGTTGCAACAACTCAGGCATCAATCCAATTACACACGTAATATGATTTTGCTTTTCCTTTAATTTAATCTGGGCATGCCTATATTTGAGGTTGCATATACCTCTCACTTGCACAAAACTGCAACTGCAGGAGAATTAGGAAGAGAAGCACCTGAGGAGGCTGACCACTTGCCAGCTTGTTTCAGCTACAACAGCAGCTGAAACAAGTGCAGTTCAGTTCCAACAGCAGCTGAAACAAGTGCAGTTCAGTTCCAACAGCAGCTGAAATAAGTGCAGTTCAGTCCAGGCAACAGAAGCACATCTGAGTGAACACAGTCCCTCAACTACTGTGACTCACTGATATGAGCCTCAGCTAGTTAAGGAACCTTATCAGTACAATTTATTTCATGACTGAGCCATCCATCTGCAGCTCAAATTCCTCCCAAGTGTGAGCACATTCAAACTAGGGAAGTGTTGGAAAGGAATGGATTAACTGCCTAAAATATCCTGAGGCAAGTAAATATGCCTATACTGGGCATGCCTGAAGAAATTCTGATAGTCTTTCACTGGAGAAGCTGCATTTATCAGCAGTTTAGAATTTCATTTGTCAGAGAATGCAAAAATAATCTCCATTTTTACAAAAAAACCACAAAAGGGTACTTAGAAGCATCCTGACAAAAAAATGACACAGTATTTTATATAATCCAGAACAGAATAAAGTTACCTCATTTGTGCCAGGCATCATCAATTCTATAACAAGAGGATTCAAGCAGCCCTAGCAACCAGACAGACCTACAGGAACATCTGCTATTTGGTTTTGCTCCTGGTGGTGAACACCTTTTTTGTGGGTAAAGCACCATTTCTTTCTGTATACTTTTGCTATTAATATTGCTGGTTTTATTGTGCTTGTCTTAGTCCCGCTTTGTGCTTTTAGTAAACTGTTAAGCCATAAATTCTGCTTTTGTTTCTCCCTTACTCAAAGGAGTGGGGGAAAGGGGACTGGCCATTAGTTGAACTAGGGCAGAACTTATCACTCACTCCCAGCAAGCCAGAATAGGCGGTGGTTTTAACTTACAGACAAATCACCAAGGTCTGATATTGATGTAAAAATAAGCAGGTCTGGAACTCCAACACTTGGAGTGTGTAAAGAAGGCCATGGAAGCCCACTGAAAATAGCATTACTTCAAAGAAGGAGCATAGCAGCTAAAGACTCAATACAAACCCTCAAGTGCTTCTCTGACAGGAATGAATCCCTTCTCCTTTAAATTTTATAGGAATCATTTCCGGCTGCTGTAGAATGTGAATATAAATACAAGCACTTAAGAAATACCTTTCAACAAGAATTAGAAAGTTACTTCAAAAGTGTGATTAATAACTCAGTAGTTCCCAGTAGCAGTCTTTGAATATAAAGAAGATGAAGGAAAAGAAACTGTTTAATACAATTAGCTTTTAAAATTGAAAAAAATTCAAGAGACCACGTTCACTTTTGTATTTAGTTGTTCTAAAAGATTATAAAAGGGGTGGAACTGAAAAGCCAGAAAAGATAATCAGAAACTGGTTCTAAGTACCTCAATTTGAATATTGGATGTTTCAAGAAACAGATCATAACCTTTGCAGAAGCACAACAAGATTGCTTTGCTTGGAGTGGGAATTCTGTCACAGAGATCCCATTTCTGAGAGTAAATCAATTATTTTTAAGAGAAACCTATCATTTTAAAGGTAAGGGAGACAGAAACATCCTTGGAAATCATATGTAGCAAGTCAGAGTGTGATGCACTCTTCCATGACCTTCAGAACATTTAAGTGTGGTATTCCCTACTCTGTGCTGCCAAGTTGCACAAAGAGGTTCTTTTTCAGTAACAGAATTATAAAGATGCTTACTCAAAGAAGAAACGTGATTTTTAATGGTTCCAACATGCTCATTGTAAAGCATTTCCTCCCCTCTTGCAAATTTGCACAATGTCATCACTAAAGGTTTCATACTGAACTTGAATTTTCTTGGGGTATTTTTTCTTCAATAATGTACATACACTAAATTACTCTTAATTATTTTGTTTGTTTCTTAAATACGAGTTGTAAAAACAATTCACCACATGCCTAGAAACTTTTCCAAGGAAACTGAGGAAGAAAGAAAAAAAGGCATCTGTACCTGTTTCTTCCAGCCATGCCGCCTTATATTTCCTTTGTTTGGTACTGAAAGCCAACCTTCAAGTCTTGATTCTGGTTTTAAAAAATGCATATTTAATAATTTTGTGTATTTATAATAATAAAGCAGAATAGCACAAAAGCAAACTACCACTAGAAAGGAAGATGTACTACATGCAGTAATGGGCAATTACCTATTCAGCAATGCAGAATAAAAAGCACAGCTAAATAAAATGAAGATATGAGCATTTAATTCATGCTTCATCACAAGCCAACATCTGATTACACAGTTACTGCACAATAAAAGTAAAGCTGTTTTCCTTGATGCCAACATCTAACACTGTATGTAAATAGTTTGCAAAGAGCCAGGCAGGAAAGACTTTGCTTTGAAAATATATTACAGTTTAAATTAGGAGATTTTCAATGTAAACATAATTTAACATTCAGAGGGGCTGTATGAAAATACTCAGCAGGAAGATGCAAGAAGTAAAATAAATCAGATCCACATTTTCCACAGGAAACAAAAAAAGGAGAGACAGCACAAGAGCAAGCAAAGCTACATGGGTGTCCCATTACTCACAGAAGATAAGCATAGGAGATAATTAAATAAGGAATGCAGGAAGAATCAACTAGATATAAAGAATAAGAGACAAGTGTTTTACTCAAATTTTCAGTGAAAAATTATCCAAAGAGAAATGTAATACCCTATTTTCCCACCATTAAACTACTGAAATAATTTAGCATGATACAAAAAAGGGCCACAGGAACATTAGCATTCTGCCTAATGTGCACTGCTGATTTAGAAAGCCCTTCCAGCTAACTGAGAGTGGCTTCTAAAATTTAAAATTATGAAGCAAGGTAATAGTGGCAGTGAAAACTTCAAAAACTTTAAGTTAAACTTTTCTGAAACATTCTCCACAACTATTTATGTCCTGAGGAGCTACTGGTTCCTTTTGTCCTTCCAGAATTACTCTGTGTGAGGTGTAACCCAGCAAGTTCTGAAATGCATTCAAATGTATGAAAGTTACTGTCCATATGCTTAGCTATATAGAATTACAATGGGTCTGACGGCCTAGCAAGGCATTATAATGAGGCATGTAAAAGCCCTTCCCACATTACCTTACAGCAGGCAATATTTAGAAATGGACTACACTTAGGCATATGGAATCATTTCCCATCATTTCTCCACAGAGAACAGCTTCAAAATACTGGAGGGCCACTGAACTACTGATATCAACTGCAATAAAAGCATGTTAGCAGAACTCATTCCTGTAAGAAAACTTCCCAGAAAAATGAAGGAAATTTGTACCTCCCTGCTTTCTCACATCTGCATAAGAACTGTGGGGACTGGGGGGTAAGGGTCCACACACCTCCCAACCCTACCTCCTCTGCTATCCCAGACTCTCCCCACTTATTGATATTCAGTAGCTTTGGAAAAGAAAACCTATTTCCTTCATGTCTACAGGTCTCACAGATATGTTTACCTTGTTTTGAATACTGTGATTAATTTTTACATTAAGAGAAGATTCTTCCATTTTTAGAAATTATAGAAACATCCTAGAACTCAGGTTTTCATTGCAAAACAAAGTGATGAATTGCTAATAAAAAACAAAGTATGGAAAAGTGTAACTCAAAAGGAATATAGGAAGGATGACTTGTTAAAAAAAGAAAAGAAAGCTTCTGTTGAAATTGTGGCATATGAAAATCTGAAAAGATCCAATGATGATGATTTTTAAAAGATGCTTATAGGGACAGTATAAGTTTTTCTAGGTTTCCTTCTGCTTCAGCATGTTCTGAAAACAATTTCAAAAGAAGTAGGAAGTAAATGAGGTATTTCAAATGAATCTGCCGACATTCTTTTCTGTCTACAACAAATCTATTTTAGGGAGCAAATTCTATTTTAATAAGAGACGATTTCTGAGCTGTGAATAACATCTTGCAGTTGAAAGTAACAGTTTCTGACCATCTTTTCAACAAAGCCAAAATCTGTCTGGAACCAAATGTACTCTTGAAAGGATAGATGAGCTCCTTCATTCCAACCTCACCACAAAGGTTCCTCTCAAGTAATATTTATAGTGCATTTTCATTTCTCTTGACAGACTTAGCATAACTGCAAATGCTCATCTGGCCATTTCACAAATATTTGATCCAGAAGACTAATATTTATGAGTGTTCTGATTAAGTAATTAAGAAAATATGGGCTATCTAGACTTAAAAAAAGAATCTTCCATTCCTGTCTTTAAAAATAGGCTTGAAACTATTGCCTGACAACTCCCCTGTATTTTGGAAAAAACACCAGAATTGATACCTCATATTTGCAATCCAGAAAGTCTAAGATAGGCCTCAAAAATATCTGATGGTTAGCTGGACCTGACTAGGATATGAAGAAAGAATTCTATAAAGGCTACAGATCTTGTAGTTATCTCTGAATATATTTTAAATTTAGATTTCTATTCCAAACACCTTCATGGCTAGTATCCAGACTACCAGGATTCATAGGGATTCAGTATGACAGGAGTGCTAACAGTAAGACTTCAATAAAATCACACAAGACAACCATGACTGTACGTGTTTATGAGACTTTTTGTTGCTCTGGAGCTAAGTAATGTGGGTGCTTTCAGGAACAGCAGAACATCTCTTTCCAGTGCTCAAGAATTCCTACTCCTAAGAGTCTTCCACAGCAACCAAAAACCTGTAGATACTATCTTGCTAATTCTTTCCATTCTTCCAATTTGGATTTTTCCTTTTGCAGATTGTCCTACTACAATTTCATGTGGATTGCACCAAGGATTTCTGACTGGATCTCTTTTGGGGTTTATTTAAGTTTATTCAGGCTGCTTCAGGAAGTCTTATCTGAGTCCAATAAAACTGCTGCTTAAGTGCCCCACACATTTATTATTTCACCTTATCTTTGTGCAAAACATAACAACATATGCTGTAAAATATTATGTGCTGCAGCTAAACCTGTAGGGCAGCTTAATTGCTTAAATGATCTTGCCAATCAGATGAAAAGGAGCAATTCACAACAGGTTAAGTGCCTGTAAGAATTAGGAGAAAAAACCCTCATGTTCCTGACTGTGTTCTGTCTTGGCAAAAAAGAATTTTGTTTACAATCATGCAAGTATAAAGACTCCCTAAATCCAGCCAGGAGGAAGAGTCATTCCAAAGGCATAATTTAAAAGCAAATACCTCAGTTGTTTCAGCAAGGGCTCTGTTAACACTGGGGACACCAACTGAGATATGAGCTGCTATCTGAATCAATAATCAGAAGTGAGAGTTACAAAACATGCCTAGAACTGAATACAAGGAAAAAATTTCATCCACATAATCTTTCCCATGTAAGTGAGCAAGAGCCTGAGAATAGCCTGGATTGTGCAAAAGGGGCCAATCCCCACCTTGGGAGAGTATAAATTGTCCTAGCAGCTACCAAAATTTGAGGGAATATTTAAGCCAATGGCAGACAGAAAACAGCTCCAAGAGAAATGCAGCTGTAAAGTATGCTATCATGTGATTTCTCTGTGTCTATTTCTAAATAGAGTTTTTTTTTTTAATTTTTAAAGTATAAAAATTTTTCTCAATTAAACCAAAAACTGCCCATTGCCAGAATCATGACCATGGAATCATTCTTTTATACATGCTTCTATTATTTTGTATCTTTTTTTTACCCCCTGCTGATGTTTTTATTTTGAAAAGGAAATGAATAAATCATACTATAATTACTTATTATAGAATTCAACCATTTGTTTGCTAAAAAAATTTTTAATAGGGTCTTTGCATTTAGAACTGGTGCACCAGCTATTGACCACTCATCCCATCCAGCCCTTAAAAACAAGATGCTATTCAAGGTGCTCTGAAGGAATGGCCATGTTTGGGCTGTGGGAGTGATGGGAACTTGGCACACAGCTGAAGACAATCAACATCACACAACAAAACTGTAGCAAATGAGCTGCTGTAATGTGTCACCTTCTTGCTTGTACACTAATTACCTGGTTGGCAGGAAAAAACCTATGTGCTGGATAATTTCCTCTTTCTGTGGCATGGGTTATTTCTATTCTGAAGTCTGGCTGGGTTCTTTGTCATCTTTACAATGCTCCTGCACTCCTTTTTCACCCTCTGCTTAGCTCTTTGACAAGTGTGTGAAATGTGACTACACTAATGTCACTTAACCTCCTTTAATTACCAAACTGCTTCTTATTCAGATCCTGATCAACCCAGAAACTCAGTCAAAAAAAACAAAAACAAAACCAAAGCAGCATGTAGGGACATGATCTAAATCTAGATAAGTCCTAATAATATGTATTAGAGGTCCTACCTGTATCAAACCAGCAGGACAACTGTAGTAAAAATCAGAGGCATGTGTAGAAAAAAGGGTGAAAAAGAGAAGAGAATTGAAAAGCTAGCAAAAAAGAAATAGTTGAGGGCTAACAAGTAGACACCTCACCCAAGAACACCAGAACTGCCATGTTCTAATTAACAATGGGAATTACCAGCTGACTTGAAAAGATCTTGTACAGACTGAAATTTCTGCCCCAAAATGGAAGCAATTATGCAGCCAAAAGCCTGACTGCACACATCTCCAGAGGTAAAACTGAAAATAACCTTCATTACTGAGGCAGACAAAGAAAGAGCTTTTTCCTACAGTCCATCCAAGATCTGGGACACAGTGGGGTCATACTGACACACTACTGCCCTTAAGAAAAAAATAGGGAAGGTATCTACGGCCAGATGGAAGCATTTATGTTTTCCATGTAATACACAACAGCCATCAAATGAAAATGGCTGAGAAGTGAGGAAGTTCAAAACTACTCTTTTCAGTAGAATAAATCTGGTCTGTTTTGCTGTAGGAAAAAAACCCTAAAGCTCTCAATTGAAGAGAGTTCAGAAATTTTCTAGTAAAATTATGAGCCACAATCTTCTTCAATTACAAGACACTTGAAAACAATAAGGCTCGATTCCAATTTGTAATTTGAAGGGAGAAAAAAAACCACTTTAATAAGCAAAATCCCTCTGATTTCCTTTTTATCCCTGTTAAATGGAATACACTGAAAATGAGAATCTATGAGAAAAATTCCTGAGAAGTACTGATAATTCAGAAATACCAGAAGAAATTCCTAGCAGGTGACAGCTAAGAAAAAAAATGTTCCTTAACCGATCTAAAAATTCTAAGAATTTCAAATGGGAGTTTGCCTTGAAGATGTTGTCAAAAGACAAAATCCTTACAAGATGACAATTTACAAGATCAAACTCCAGAATGCAAAGGCTTCTTGAACAAAATGGAAGGTGTGGAGAAAAAGACTATACTATTATCTGAACAAAAATCTATTCTAAAATGAAATTCATTACAATATTAACTAAAAATAAAAATCTAAAAATAACTAGGGGAAGATAGGAAACATAAATAGACACAGAAAGGAGTAACTACATCAAAACATGTACTAAGACTGATAACCTACCTGAAATTTCAATCACTCTAAGACTCCTGGAAAAACTCTAGAATGTGGCAATTGAGTAGCATGAAGTGCATTAACAGGAAAAGACACATCTAAAATTATTCTATGTACTTTTATCTGACTACTCATCCACTGAAGTCATAAAATACCCAAAAGAGTATTCTGGTTTTGTATGTCTAAAAATATTTTTCTACAATGAAATTCAGACTTATCAAAATTATATTAAAAATTTCACAATGAATTCTAAAAATTACTTAAGCATATAGAAAAAAGATATACCTAGCTACGATGTGCAGAAATTGCCAAGCACACCTGATTACACCAATTTTTTTTCCTGTATTGAGAGACACAGAAGTGGATCATGTGGAAGTACTAACTGATTACACTTTTCAAACTCTGGGGAAGGGGAGAGGTAAATAACTAACCAGTCTAACAGTGGGTCTCAAAGTACAGTGCTTGGTACTGATACATGGAAATGGCTGGCTATGCTGTATTACATGTTCTTATTTTCATCTGCTAGATCAGAGTACCATACAACCATAAATTTATTATGGAAATTCCTCCAATTATTTTTCACAACAGCAATTACTGCCAGTTGTCACAGAGGTGCTACATGACTGAAGAAGAAGAGATACGATCAAGACAATTTTGCATTCAAGATATCAAATATAATCATAATGTTGTAGAAGTGTTGGCCCTATCTTCTATTCACCAAATACTGCATATTGTAATCACTGTATTTGGAAAACAAGAGATGTAAAGACACTCCTTCCTCAAAAGTGCATATAAAAAATGCTAATACCAAGCCATACAGTGGGAAGTGTGATGTGAGAAAAAATTAAGTCTTAAATATAAGCAACCTAGGTATGAAATGTAAAAAAAAGAAACAAAGAAAGAAAGGAAGTGGAGATGTGATACAGAAGTAGACAGCCAGAAGACTTTAAGAAGCAATAACAAGTAATTGTTTGAAACAATATCTTGCAGAACTATGTGTATGCAACACAGCTAAGTGGTTCAAATCTGCTTTTCTCATACCTGAAAGATTTCCATCTGTTTCATCTGTCGGAAGACTGGCAACACTGGTAGAATCCATTCCTTGCTGGAGGTCCATGATTTTCCTTCGTAGTTGTTCTATGTCACTCTCTTTACTGTCCAGCTGCATCTGGAGCTCATTCCTGTACGTAGATTCCTCTGCTAGTTGCTGTATTTATACACACACACATAGTTACTGTGTTACCAAAAACATGGCCGCCAAGTATTTTGAAAACAAAACTCCTATCTATGTCTCTATATATATCTATATATGTATATACACCTATACATACACATGTACACACACACACACATATGTGTGTATATATATATGTGTGTGTGTGTGTGTATATATATATTCCACAGTATGATTAAAATATTAAATTATTTTACCGCTTGCATTTCATTAAGCTCTTTTTGGTATTTCACAACCATCTGATTGAATTTCTCTTTTTCTTGATTAAGTTCTAATTGGAGCTTTCGGTTTTCCTTCTCCTTCTTTCTCAAATCTTGCATGTTAGCTTTCTTTCTGTCTATTTTAAAATCTTTCCGATTCATTATCTCAGCCAGTTTGTTGACGGCCTGTTAAGAAAAAGGAGAACCAGTAAGAAAAATTACATATGCAGCATGTTTAATAAAAAACTTCTCAGTTCCTCTAGTTACAGGATCTGATTTAAAAAAAAATCCCTTCACCAACACAAATGGCCCTTACTCACAACTGAAGTAATACTGAAAAGTATACAGCATCACAACTTGTTCTTTCAAAAGTAAATTTAACAATGCATATTCTACATCATGGTGACTATAAACTTGGTTTCAAAGGAACTAAGAGTTAGTTCACAAAAGCAAAAAACCTGAAATACTTCTGCTAATGCAAAGTAACAATTGCTATGAAATTGCATAAAAAGTTGTACCTGTGTCTTCAGAGTTCTTTCAGTGCTTATGCTCTTCTCATATTGCATTCTAATATTACTGATTTCCTCCTCTTTTTTCATTCTGTAATCTGTTAAAATAATATTCAATTTTGAGGTATTTTAGTACAAGGTAATTATTTTTAAACTTAATTTAAACTTCTATAAAGTTTAAACTTTTAAACTTCAGTAAGTGCATCTTTTTTTCCATTCTGTTGTCCTGTTGCTTCCCTTTTTGAGCAAAATACAATTTACAAAGACAAAAATTACCAGTTTAACACTACTGCAATGACAGAAAATGACCAGAAGGATATAGCAGAAAGGCAAAAAGCTGAAATACTAAAGCCAACATCAAGCCCAAAATAATATGGAAGATAAATAGCAATGTCTTCTTCCATTTCCCATTTCTTCACATATGCTTCAGATTCAGGCATGCTTCAGAACAGGTAAGTTAAAACTCCAAATATGACATACCTTCCTCTTGTTTCTTAAATTTTTCACTGATTTCTGTATTTTCCTTTGTTATTAAATCAACATCTTTGGTTAAAGTGTTATTAGTTTCTTCCAGCTACATGAAAAGAAACACATTTTAGAATAAAGAATTTGACATAAATTCTAAAACTATCTATATTACTATTATTTTAAATACCCTTAATTCTATAACAACCATTTACTTAGAACACCTTCTGCCTACGTGAACTTGTAAAAAATGCTACTATTCTTGTGCTGTTTTGATTTACCAGAAGGCTCAAAATGCACCTGTCCCAGACAAAAAAATTATCACTGCAGAACTGACAACACTGTCGTGTGGAAACAAAAATCAACTTAAGCAGAGTTAGATTGTCAGTTATGGAATGTGGCAATTTTAATTTGTTGTACTTTGGAAAAACTAGTAATTAGAGGCCTGATACCATGAATCCAGACAAAAAAGTAGCTGACAGATGCTATAACTCCAGCATTAAATTTAGAGTAGATACAAGGCATTCACTGCTAATCATGAAAATCTGCATATTTATGCAATTTACTGCATGAATCATGAAATCGGGATAAAAACAAAACTAAATTTGGATTAAGACAAAGCAGACATAGGTAAATATGTACAGAGCTTGCAAAAAATAAGAAAAAAGTTGGAAAGGAAAACCTCAACAACTTTGAATATGTGACCATGTTCATTGCCACAGCCAGAATCACTTGACAAATACCTATGAAAAACCAGACATAACTGTATTCCTAAATAAAGGTTTTGTTTGAAGCCAATACAAATAATTGTGTATGAAGCTGTCTGACAAAATTGATCAGGAACTTGAAACCAAAAACACATAGGCAAGAAGGCATTCCTTTGATGCCACAGACATAGTCATCTAAATGCTGCTTAAGAAATAGTGGTATTCTGTAAATCTCAAGCTTAAAAAAGCAAATTCATGAAATAAACACTATTTGCACTATCTTTTCACAGAGATGGAATATCCATGGTAGCATTAACAGAAAGCTTTGAGCAACTGAGCCAAGCTCAGTTACACCTGGAACTTTACACCCCCAGAATTTTTAAGAATACATGCACAGCTGATGCTAAATGGGAAAAAACAATGAAAAAATAACTATGCTACCTATGGCTTGCTGTTTGAGACTTTTCAGTTAAAGACATTTATCAAGCTCATATTAACATCCAAAAGGTATGCTATAATGCGTCTTCAAAAATTACATTTTGGGGTTTGGGTTGTGAAACTTGAGAATCTCAAGTGGCTTTTTCTTTAAAGACTAAGTTACTTTGCAATAAGAGTCTCTAATACACAGCTCTACAAATTTGCAAGATTTAAATAATACACTTGGCAATGACAAGAAGTAAATACAAAAGGCTTAATAACTGAATTATAGACATTCACTTGACTTTCATTCTGGCTTCAGCTCAGATTAATAAATTTTGTTTTGATGAATTCACATTCATCATGTGAATTTTGTCACATGATGAAATGCAAAGGTTCCAAGTGAGCCCAAAACTTAAGATACTTAATTAGTTATCACTTCTGATCACAACAGGACTTCATTAATTAAAACCATGAATTTTGGTTTCCAGCCAGAAGAGATGTATACCGGTATAACAGTTAATTTACCCTTCTTATGATGATGTCCTTATCAGTCAATTCTTGTCTGTGCCTTGATGCAGCTTTTTTACTCTCCTGATTCAGTTCATAATACTGTTCTTCAGCGAGCGCCCGTGCCAACCGTTCTGACTCAGCTTTGGTTTCAGCTAAATCCAACTGGGCAGCGAGTGTTTCTCTGTAAAAAGGACATAAGATTTCCTTTTCCTATGCAAAACATTCCAAATTTTCAGGAAAACTATCAAATCTGAATTATACCACTCAGCTAATGGTCATTATCTTAGTTTCTTAAGAAAAGGAAGAGCTACAAAACTGCATTCTGTACACTTGTATCTTTTGATGGTCCACACAAGCTACAGCAGCAAGCTTACTGTGATTTTCATTAACATTTCAATCATCCATGAAACACCAATATGGATTCTCCTGTCTTCGAGGAACAGAAAATAAAACTAAATTATATGTACAGAATGGACCAACAAAAGATACTTAATCCACATTTGCCCATTATCATAATTCCCATAGTTATATCCAAGTGAGAAACGTTTAGGATGAACATAAGATTGCAGAGAATAGAGAGGGAATAGAATACACAGCATCTATAAAAAGAAGTAGGAAAATAAATAACCACAAGAAGAATAAGGGAGGTCTTGCCTACCTTCTCCTCCCTCCCCATTTCTTTATGTTGGTTACCACTCGTGAACAACTTGCAGAGACACATATATTTTCCTCCTACACCATATTTATTAGCACAACATCTTTTCTTTCTCCCTTTCTTAGCCTACCAAACTGCTGTACAAAATGAACACTGTACATAATCCTCTGCCCTTCAGACTGCTTTCCAATGCCAATCCTCAGGCAGAACAAGAGACACAGACTTTAGAAGAAACTGTACTTGATGCGTAAGGCCACAGTCTCCTTCTTCAGAACATAAAATAAATTAAGACACTGGAAAAACAAGCCTAAATTTTATTTTTCTTATTTGATAGCTTAGAAAATAGTACATCACAATTCATGGTTGTTAATAATAACTGGTTTAGCTGTAATCAGAAATATACTAAATTTTAAAGACTTTGTTACCTTTTTCTCAAATTATTTTACCGACTATAGAAATATATTAAGTAATTATCAGGATAATATAATCAAATTTTAAAAGTTGGTGAGATGATAACCAAAATTGGAATGTTTTTAAAAATTTTTGAATCTTAGTAAATTTTCAGAGAAGTCATTATTCTTCTTACAGACATGATAATATCCAAAGCAAATATTAATAACCATATTTGGCTTTGTGAGTCAGTATAGGTAACATCCTATGTATTTGCCACTTACAAGGTGTTATGGAACACTTTTGAGGCCTTTTTCTAAAGGAATTAAAACATCTTAGATCTGATTCAAAGTATTACAAGAAAAAACTTAGGTGTGTGTGAGAAACATAATGGGCATACTTTTCATTTTGCAAATCCTGCATTTTTCTTTGTGTTTCTTTATTCCTTTCATCAATTTCCTCTTTCAGTTCCTTAACCTGAGTTTTGTAAAGTGTCTGTAAAAGAAAGCATAACAAAAAATCATTATTCAAATTCCATACTGAAATTCCTCATTTTCAGACTACTTAGTTTGAACTTGTCAAACCCCAACACATGCCAATACTGTCATTAGTGAAATTTCCTCCTTCCTTCCTCTCCCAGATGCTTTGTTACAGTTTCTGTTGGGTAGGGAACTGATCTGATCAAATTAGTTTTCAATTTTCTAGTGTGTTTCCCTACATAGCTGCACAAATACAGGTGTTGCAAAAGAGAGAAGGCACTGTGACACAGCAGAACAGGTCTCCCAGACACAACAGGACAAAACTGCATCTTGAAGCATCACTTGTCTCAAAATGTTCATCCAACAAGCCCAACATCATTCTGTGCTTTCACCTGTTGCATTCTCTTTGTGTCCATGTACTTTTTCTCTTAGAATCTTAAGCTTTTTCTGTACAAACTTAATAAGTGATTCAGCTGAGATCTGATTTATATAAATTACTTACTGCTGTGAATTACTTCTGGGTTTTATTATTATTATTATATTTTTATTATTACCATCACCTGTAATTTTGAAAGTTAAAATCTGATCTTCTACAGTAAACTACTTTTGTACATATTCAGACTGAATTATGAATGTCTTATTTAAACTACAAATTAGCGAAAAAAGAAGAAACTGAGAAACACAATGCTCTGCATCTTCTTATAAGCAGTATGTCATGGAGAAATGCAGAAAAAGGCTCTGTAACAGATAATGAAATAATAATCATATGCAGTTTAGTAAACAAAATTTTTTACTGCCTCTCCCAGGAAAACCCAAATTTAAAAGTATTTCCCAAAGTGAAATGAGTCTGTCCGTACTCACAAATGTATCTGACATTCAGGTGTTACAGAGAATTTTACCCTATTGCTTCTTTTCACAGAGACGAAACAGATCAAACTACATCTATGAAATACACATTTTGGCTACCTGGAGTACCCAGTAAGGTCCTTCAGCGATTCAGGTGCAGAGAAGGTAGATTTTTAGAACAGGGAATACATACAGAATGCTACTGGGTCTATGGTTCTTAAATGTCTGTGTGGTAGATGAATAGCATGAGCTATTTTCCAGTAAGTTTGGAGATTTTCAACTCTCTGTAAAGTTTGCAATTGAATCAGAAAAGTATCTCCTTTCTAATCTCAGGATTGGAACAACTCTGATGAAAAATTCAGGTAAGAGTTACTCAATGTAATATCAGTTTTGACAAACAAGAAAACAACATTTTAGATACATCTAATGTTCTCTAATATTTTGTTCCTCATTTGTATTTCAAGCAGGATTTTCTGAACTGCTGATTAATGCAAGGCTGTTACTTACATTAAAACAATTTTAGTTTCAACTATTTACTGTTCAATGATTTTATGTCAAAATTTCTTACACACAATTCCTTACAAGTCTTACCGAAAAATACTGCTCAGCTTCAAGCTGATCCTGAAGCTCTCGCATCTGACCTTCATTTCCTCTGTACTGTCTTTGAAGAAATTAAAAAAAAGGGAAACATTTAAAAAGTCAGCTACTAACAAAAGACAAAGACAATTTCTAAACAGCCTAGCACTCTACAATGATCTCCCATTTGCATACAAATGACTTCACAAAGAGCAACAGTTTGCTGTATCTTAGAATTCTGATTTAACACAGTTCTTATTTTAAAACAATGATCCTTTCAGTATGTAATTTAGAAGCCAAGAAGTACTCTAAATGGAGAAACATTAAGCCAGCTGAAAGAATATATGATAGAAGTCTAATTAATGAAAAATGTCTTCATTTTAAGATAAAGAAACATTAAGAAAATGAATCAGGCAATGAAAGGGAACTATTGACTCCCATGCACTAAAAGCCCCCATATGATTTAGTAAGTAGCATCAGAGTCAATCCATAAAAAAGTCATTCAAATAAAAAAGGCATATATATATATATATATATACACATATATATACACATATACATATATATACACACACAATCATGTATATGTGTGTGTGCCTTAACATAGAATGGTGAGCCAAGAACTGTTCTGAATTGTAGCTCATAACAAAAATATTCCAACACTGAAGGCTATATGGAAATCATAACAGGCAGCTACATAGGAATCATAACATGCAGCTAAAAATACTCTTTCAGTTTAGGAAAAAATGCCTATGCTCCAGAGAACTTTATTCACTAGCAGGAACAGGCAAAATAGTACATGTATAATTAAGCAATTTTTTCCATTTTACTTCACGTTTTTACTTACTTTGCAAGTTGAGCCAACTCAAATTCCAGTAATCTCTTTGCTTCCAACAAGGTATTGATTTCCTGTTTCAGCTGCTTCTCAGAACCCTTCAAGTTATCAGCTTCAAAAGCTTGTGCCTTTAATTCATTCTGTGCCATTATTCGCTTATTCGTCTCTTGTTCTAGCTTAAGTGTCAGATTCCTTACCTAAATGAGAAATATTTCCATTTAGGAGCCTTTGCTAAATAACCAATTGCAGTGGCTTAAGAGATTTCACCTATGGATTATTTTATATTAAAAACCACTGACTAGATGCTACACCGTGTAACACATGTCAAAGTATTCCTGAATCTCCAAACACTTCAGTGTAATAATCTCACACAAAGCTGCTGCCCTTAGAACGTATGGCTATGATGCTGCAGAATGATAAAGCTTTCCCATTTTTAGTTATTTCAAAGTCCCTAATTTAACTTATCTGAAAGACAACAAGTGAAGGAACCTAAATTGTCTGCAAACCTCTCCATGGATTTCAGATCTTAAAAATCTCTCACCCTAGAAAAAAAATGCAGCTTATCAAGTACATAAAAACTAATTTACATGAGTTGTGACCCCTAAGAAAGGTGATATAAACTTCATTCCCACTGTCCTGTAAAGAAAAAGTAAGAATGAAGCTATTATTCTTAGTACCTAGTTTTCACACTCAATATTCTAATTGCATTTCCTTGAACAAAAGGAAAGAATGCAAACTAGACAACACAAACTCAGACCTGTAAATCATCCACATCAATCTGACTGCACAGTCAAATTCACAAGCAAATTTTTTCTTTAGAAAAAGAGAAAACACACAAAAAAAAGTGTTATATTGAATTGAAGTTCAAATATGGAAGACATTCTAGAGTTATGAAACAAGCAGAAATTACCTAAACCTACTTAGGCCAACAACTATCCTCAATTCTACTGAGAGTTGTATTGCATAAGGAGCTCAGTATAAGTGAATTTAATTTTCTATTTCTCAGTTCAACTCTAACTTCTTATTTATATAGAAAGTTATTAGTGATGAACCTTTTACTTACTTCATCTTCCAGTCTCTCCTTTTGCTGAAGAAGATGTTCCAGTTTCTGCTGAGATTGCTTCAGGTCGAAGTCCAACATGGAACACTGTTTTTCAGCTTGAACTATTCTATTTTCTGCCTTTTCTCTTGCTGCCCGTTCTTCCCTTATCTTTTTTTCCATTTCTAAAAAAGATTAAGGAAATAAAAATAACAAAAATTATTACATAGCATCTGCAAGCATGCATTTGTAAAAACAGTAATAAATATCCTAATATTTTTCAGACCTTTTTGTTCAGCTATATAAGCTTTTCTGCTGTTTGATTTTCAGCTTTTCTACTGTTTGTTTTTCTTTTTTTTTTTTTTTTGAAAGAAAAAAGATCCTGGCATTATTACAAGGAACACTAAAAAATAAAAATAATTCCATTCTGCATTCAAAGCACTGGAATATTATCATGACAACTGAAAGATAAACAGTGAAAGAAATAAAAAGCACAGATTCTTGAAGTAATTATTTTGACGTAAGGCAAAGTTTCATTTCCATGAATGGATAGCAGCAAAAGAAAACAAATGCTACCATTACTGTTACCTCTAAAAGCCACATTTAGGTACTGATGACCTTCGCAGGAAAAGCTGACATACTCAATTACAAAATCAAGACACACCTTTGATTCATGGAAATACATCTATAAAAAAAAATCTCATTTCACTTCAGACAAGCCTAATACAACACTGGTATTTTTAATGCAGTTACACAGGAATGAATGCCCTAGGACATTTCTCTTGATAATGCATTCTTTCAATTCTGTTTAGCATTAGACAGAATCTCAAGATTCAATATAGCATTTTAGAAGCCAAGGAAGGCTTTAAAGTAAGGTATGTAAAACATTAAGAAACAATAGAATTTTTATGAAATAGCATGTTAGAGAAAATAATTTAAAATGTGTAGTTTTGACGTTTTAAGATTTTAATACACATTTTCTTTATAGAAGGGATCAAACACTGGTGCAAGAGTACTACAGTGTACCACAATGTGTATTGAAATATCATAATCAGAACATGTTTTATTATGTATTCACCTGAAACTTGCAGGAAACACTTACCACACATTGCGACTGATCTTGCCTCCTCTATCGACTGGTGTTTGTCAGTTAACCGCGCTTTTGTCACTTTGTGCTCATTCACTTCCTGTTCTAACCGGTCTTGTAAGGATTTCAGCTTGTAGTTCAAATCTATCTCTAAATTATTCTTTTCCTAAAGATAAGGAAAAAGTGATCAGATTGCTGTAATACCTGAAGAATCACATTTTTATTCCCTTTTTTAGTATTACATTTCTGTTATCAAGAGATTATCAATGTTGTTTTCCATGCTTAGCAAAGAACAGTAACAGACCAAAACTGTACTCAGCGCTCTGGAAAAAATTTCACTAACTTTTTTTCAGTAGTCTACAAATTTGCAAGAAAACGGAAACTTCTCCATTTGTATAATCGGTAGTCACCTAAACTGGGAACATACAACTAACAAACGGACATCCTCGAGCACAGAGGAATCTGAATTATTGTTACCTGGATGAATTTGGGTTATTCCATTTCTAGGATTGCCAGGCATTAACAGTAATTGACCAAACAAGCACTGGAGATGTGCTTTGAGAGACAAGCACTGGGCTTTGAATGGCTTCACATAACAACAAATTAGAATTGCTTGTCCCCTTCCCTGACCGACTGTTCTATCTCTGGTTTATTCACACAGACCACACAGCACAGAAAGTCTTTACCTGACCTCACCAGACAGAGTTAACTCTGCAGTCTGTCTGGAGAAAGGGTGTAGGATTTCCTCTTACTGTTAACTTGTTTTTCCATCATATGGAAGGGATCAGAGATGTTAGAGGAACATTTAGAAGGAAGGACAGAAAAAATTCTGCACCAAAGTTGATTAAAAAGCCTGCCTGGCACTGATCCAGTCAAATTAAAATCCAGTAAAGATTAAAAAAGAAAAAACACCCCCCCACACCAAAAAGAAACAAAAAACAAAAACAAAAAAAACCCAAAAAACCCAAAAAACCCCACAAAAACAAAACCAGATTTTTAAAAAGTTTATAGATTTTCAGAAGCAAGTCTTTGCAGTCATAGTCAGGCAGGCAGAAAAAAATTCCTTGCTACTGGCAGTGGGATTGGATCCTTGAATCAGTGATAATGAATGACAAACACAATTTTCTTGCACAATGCTACAAGTAAGAACTACCTGAGGACTTGAAAACATCAATAACATTTAAAAATACAGTCAAAAGCTGACAAAGAGCATCAGCCTCAACATCATTTCACCATACCTTTTCTGAATGATTAAGCATATCCTGTGCTTGTTTTCTTTCTGCTTCCACTCTTTCAAGATTGTTTTTAATGTTTTTTACTTCTTCTTGTAAAGCTGTAATCCGAACTGCCACAAAAAATTAAGTATCACTCAATATTAGTCACATTACTTAGATCAATTGTCTTTGCAACTTTTAGTGATTTCTGGGCCCATAAAATATTTCAAATACTTCAAATTGTTCAGGCATGCAAAGGCCATACATTGTAGAGCAAACTGACCTTTTTAGACACTCTTTATGCACATCATCAGTAACAATTCACAAAAACTAATCATGCAAAAATGGTTCCTGCCTTCCATCACTTCCATTATCTAATATTCAGAATTTCTTTCATTAACCCAAATTCTGGTAGGCTATGGAACAAGCACCTATAAGTGATGCTAACTGAATTAACGGGTAGATAAGGCACATTACACAGAAAGTCAGTTTCAAATGGACTTTTGGGTACTAACAACATGTATTCACTTAAGTGTGACTCAGACCATGGGGAAGTCAGGCACTGAAAAAGGCTCCCCATGGAAGGTGTGGAATCACCACCCCAAAAGCGTTCAAAAGATGTGTAAATGTGGCAGTTAGGGATGTGGTTTAGTGGAGGATTTGGCAATTCTGGGTTGATAGTTGGCGTCAACGATCTTAGAGGTCTTTTCCAAAGAAAACCATCCCATGATTTTAAGCGTTATGACATGGAAAAAGTAATTATTCCTTAAACCCCACAGCATCTACCCTTGTGTGGCATAAGAGTTTATATGAAATACTAAGTATTTCATATAAATACTTAGTGGTTTGGAAGGGATCTCTGAAAATCATCTAGTCCAATCTCCCTATCACATGCAGGAACACGTCTCACTAGACCCTGCTGCTCAAAGCCCCATCCAACCTAGCCTGAAACACTTCCAGGGACAAGGCAACAACAGTTTCTCTGGGCAACCTGTCCCAGGGTCTCACCACCCTTACTGTAAAAATTTCTTCCTATATCTAATGTAAACATACTCTCCTTCAATTTAAAACCATTGCCCCTTGTCCTGTCACTGCAGACCCTGGTAAAAAGTCTCTGTCTTACACACTCTCTTTTAGTAGGGAAAGGAGAGTCCTCATCAAAAGGACCTCATGGAAACTGAATACTGCAGACAGATGGTTCAAAGTGGCAAGTTAAGAGTCAGGGTACATTAGCACAGCCACAGGCATGAACTAATGCATCTGAATAGTTTCTACTCTGGAAGAATCAAGACAAATAGTAGAAAGTTTTAATCATCCTGAAAAAAAGGATTCTGTATCTGCATCCCTTATTGTGCTCTTAACCTTACTTGTAAAAGTAATGTAGAATCATCATAAAAGAAAACAAATGCAATTTAACAAAATAATAGCCTTCTTCACACATGAAAGAAGAGCAAGTCCAAGATATACCAACTTGGCTATTGCACAAGGCAGTAAGACAGTGCTGCATCTTCTCTAGCACTGTATCAGCTCTTCATATTTTTGCACCACTGGACTCAGACTTTTGGTCAGGACAGCCCCAGACTCACTATCAGTGTTTGACACTCTGATTTCGATATTCTCTCTCTCTCCCAAGAGCTGCTCAACATGACCAGGAACCCAGATCCAATCCTCAGAAATTGTTCAGTCACACCTTTTTTGCAGGTTGGCTTTCCTCCCGTGACCAAACTCTACTTCACTTAAAAAAGGTTATCACAACTTTTTTTGGTAAGGTATAAATTCAGAATAATTACCCTGTAGTTCTCCAATCAATTCAGATCCATGACTTCTATCCCTTCGTTCTGACTCCAAAGCTGCTTGTAGTTGATAATAATCTTTCTCCACCTGCAGTTTTGTGCTTTCCAGAACTCTGCACCTTTCCTGCAGTTCTCTATTCAGTGATTCTACCTGACTTAATGACTTGCTCATTTCTGTGTTGCCCTTTCTCAGTCTTGCAGCTGTGTCAGATTCTGTCCTCAGCAAATCATTTGCTTCTTCTAGCTGTAAAAATAAACCAGACAAAGATTCTCAAATATAAAGATTAAGGAGCCAGTTTTGCTACATTTGAATGCTCAAATCTAAGAAATAATGAAGACAAGGAGCACAAACAACGTACTTGTTTTTGTAACTGTGTTATCTTCTCATTTGTAATTTGTGAATGCTGGCTGATTTTTTTCAAGTCTTCCATCTGATCTTTTAGTGTGGACACTAAAGAGAAATTGCACCATTAATACAGCATACTATAAAAACCTTAGGGTTTTATTCTTGTTTTTTCACATAAACATGCTCCAAAATATTGTTTTGCACTGATAGGTTTTTGTTGACTTTTTGCTTCTTATATATATTTTTATGTCGAATTTTGTGCTTGCAGACCAACAACACAGCACAGTGCTGCAGAGTACAGAATTTGAAAATAAATAAAAAAATTAACTCAAAATCTGTGTTCATAATTTGAAAAGATCCCTTTTCAAACCCTAAAGTTCCACAGCACTTAAGATACTATGACACTAAATTACTCCCCAAAACACATCATGTATGTCCTCAGTGTCAACGTTTGGACAACAGTGCATACCTTCATTTTCCACATTACGTCTTTTTTCATTCTCTTGTTCAAATTTTCTTTGGTACTCATTTATTTTATGTTGCAATACCACCTTTTCCTTCTCAATCTGAGACACTGCTGTTTCCAAGTTCTTCCTTTGATTTCCCTAAAATTCAAAGAATTGGTATTTTATACTTACATTTTAAGGAGTGATCGCTAAACCAGTTGCATGATCTCTGCAACTAATTACACATGGAAACTGATTGTTTCAAATGAATGAATTTCTGGCTTCCTTGGAAAGGTTTTCAGAAAAGACAGCTTTTTTAACTTCCACATGACAAATTTATACAATTACTAGAAAAATTGTTGTTAGTACAATTATATCTAAACTAACTACTAAAATTATTAAGAGACAAGGACTCAACAGAAAATCATCTTAATTTTTGTAGTAATTGACTTTGATAAACTCCAGAAAACTTGCAACAAGCAAGACTAAGTAAAACATTCATCAAAGTAAACATAAATCAGCATAATTAACAGAAAGAAAAGTCTTTGTAAATGACTACAAATAAAATGTAATCTCCCAATGTTATGTATTGAAACATGATCGTTAGGTCTCAAACTTGAACACAGAACAATTTTTTATTAGTCACAGAAAAAATATCTTAGAATCATGAAAGTACTATTCCTAACTCCACCCTTTACCCAATTAAGGCATCTTCACGGGAGAAAAATATTACCTCTTCATCCAGTTCTTTCATTATCTTGTCTAGCTTTATGTTTGAAGATCTAAAAATAAAACAAGATCATTTAACAGATAAATTATACATACTGTTTTTCTAGTGAACTGATTCATGACCATTACTAAAGTGAATGTTAATATTTTGACTAAAGTTATTTTGTAATGAACATTTAAAGCTGAGGAAGACAATCAACCATTGCAAATAATTTGTAAAATACATCACTAAGTATTTATCAGCTTTGTTACAGATTAAAGATGCGAAACTTTAGGTGCCCCACTTTATCCCTTAATCTGCAAAAAACAGTGTATGTGCACAACAGGCTATCCTAAAGGTTAGAATACCCTGGTAAACTGCTAAAACTTCCTCTAGTTATGACCTTCAAATATCTAAAATAGCTCATTAATTCCACAGGAGACAGCTCCCTACTACAGATAAAGGTACATGAATAATATTATTTGAAAGTCTCTCTGTTGAAGCAATGTATTAGAAGACTGAAGTACAGAGAGTGTGGTGAAATGGACAGTGAATCATTTAACTGGCAACAGCATTGACACATCCATTGCATTCCTGCAGGCAGCCATCCCTCTTCAAAGAACCAACAAAGAGGATCCAGACAAGGCTGCCTGGCAGGTAAAAGAAGAGGCAGTTACAATAGTTAGGGATATCTCTTAACTCTGCAGTGAATGGCATGACAAGCCAGAAGACACAGTTGTGCTCAGACAGCTTCAGTAGTAAGACATGAAGACATCTACTGAATATCCTTCAAGAATGTATGTTCTGCTTGTGGAGAGCAATCAGAATGTGCCAACAGTGAGCTTGTGTTTAAGTAAGCAACAGAGGCACACAGCCTAAATTCCCACTAGACCATTACAGTTACCAGTTTACACCTAAGGAGCTTGTACAGCTACACACTATGGTTCTGATTCACAAGTCCAAATTCTTCCTGCATCATATACCTAGTGCTGCCTCCTGGGATTATTAAATTCTTCAGGAAAAGACTTCAAAAGGAGAAGCTAACTGAAGGGGAATTTCATTTGCATGACTCTCAGTAGAAATGTCTGATTATCAGAAAAGGGGAATCTCAACTGTTTGTTCATGTGACTGCAGGAAAAATGCCAATTCTCACATAGCTGCTACTTCAGCGTGGTAGAAACAAAACTTCAGAAAGCAAACTGTTGCTCTTATATGTCAACCATAGGAAAAAAAGGTGGTTTTCCAACAAGTACCCTGTATTTAGAAAACACCTGATTAATTTTAATAATCCAATATATGCCATATATACAGAATTTCACATTTTCAAAAAAAAAATCAGTATGGTGATCATGTACCTTAGTCCAATAAAACATCTGAATACGGAGATATCAGGTAAACTGAAACAATTAAGTGCTCAGAAAGAACATGTGTTACAGGGCTGTCAACGAAAAGAAAAAAATTCTCTATACCATACTCAAGAAAATTTTAGAATTACTTAGATCTATGCCTGGAACTCTCCTGGAGAACTACAACACTATTCTTAGTGTTATCCTGGTAATCCCTAAAGCAGTACCACAGAACTGAAGTGTTAGATATACTTAAATTATGTAAACAATTGAAGTTCAAAGTCTCACCTGCACTTTTGCTCCATTTCATCTTTCAACTGCATTTCATTATGTAGCTGTTCTTCTAACTCATAGATCATCTTCTGCATATTTTCCAGCTTTAAATATATATTTGTACATGAAAGAACATGCATTAAATTTAGAAACTTTAAAAAGTATTTCATAATACTCAGTTCTGCTTACATTGTATCACAGATTACTTTCTTCTACCAAAATAAGACATTTTACCTTATTAAAATGTGATGCATGTCCCTTCCTCCCTGCCCTCCCACAATTTAATTACAAAAACTAAGACAGTTTTTTTCATTTGAATGCATATGAAATTTTAGGTATCTTCAAAATTCACAGGACTAAGCTAAATCAAATCTTCCTTGTTTGACATATCTTCAGTACCTGGCTAAATATATTACTGCAAAAATGTAAGAAGAACTTTAGTAAGTCTCAAAATTTCTTCTAGCATGACCACCACGTGTATTTCGCAATGCATCTTCAAGCTCCCAACAAGTTCAGGAAGTAGAATCAGGCCAGCCAGTTACTGCAATGGGAGAAAGTGCTCTCACCTTTTTAGTCAGAGGTCATTTTTACAGCTAGAACTGTACTAAGGTTTGAAAGACAGTAACAAACTTCAGATGTTAATATGGCACATTACTGCATAGCATGTACTGTTTGCCAGCAGGATAAACTCAGAAATTAATTCCTTTCACATAGTCTCAAAGTATCTACCACCTTCTATTGAATATCTAGGCATAATAATCCCATTCCAAAATCAAAATCCTCATTTAACATGATGAAGGAGCTCATCAAGTCAACCTCATGTTGGTTGATTCTTTATAAACCTTTCCACTGATATTGTAAAAATTTCAGCCGATTTAATTTTTACATATTTCCCTCAATGCTCTTGGAACTGCACAGAGAAGTACTAGATTCCTAATCTAGACTCTCTTCAAAGCAACATTTTCAAGTGCTTCTGATGCTTTGCTTTGTTGTTTCCCGTTTTAAATCCAAAATCTCAAAAAACTTCCAAAAATTAGACATTTCAACACTTAACAGAGCAGCTCTGGAAAACAAATTACTGGTGTGACATAGAACATAACACTATGTGGATCAGACAATGCTTGTAGTTAAAAACAAGGGATGGCTTCTAAATCTAGACTTTGAGGACAAAGAAAAGACCACTACACAACACATTTATCTCCTTGGTATGAACCACTGAGAAATAAAGCAAGAAGCAAGACTATTTAAAGGCCCTCACTGTAATAAGAAAGGACCACAGCAAATGCCCCAAAACAGAGGATAACAAAGGTTCAGGGTGATTTGATTGCTCTTCCATTTCCTTTCACTCATGTTATAGCCCTTCCAGACAGGGTGCACAGAGGAACAAAATGGGATAGATGAGAAACAGGTCTACAAAGACATCTGGCGACCGAGGCATTTCTGTACTGCCCCCGGCTCGCCCGGGCTGCTATCGCATCCTCCTGCGCCTCTGCGTCTCTGCATGTTCTCACATCAGGCTGGACCCCAGGGACCCATCTGAGCTTGCGGAGCAGTCTAATTATATCAGTAGAGACAACAGGCTTCCGGGCAAAGCTCTGCACAATCTGCTATCAATAGACTAAAGAATACCTCCAGAAAATCCTGAGTTACAATTAACTCAGTATAAAAGCACGCCTTTAAGCTTTAGTTTGCTCCTGGTTTCCATTTTGAGTAGGAAGAAGGGGAGGAAAGGACTGAAGAAAAGTCTGTTGGCAACAGAGAAGTAAAGAAAAATCTCTCTGGAACTGTAATTTTTTTTTCTTACTCACTTCAGCATAGTGAGTCTGGTTCTATACCCTGAGCAATGAAGAAAACCTAAGATTCAGTGCAAAAGAATCTCTTAATCTCCTTTTTCTTAAAATCTAAACTGTTTACAGGTGGTTATGGCAGCACTAAACCAAAGTAAGCAATCAGATCTTCAAAGAGGTTTGATATTCAGTAAAAGGATATAGAATTCTATTTTCGCACAACACCGTGGCCTAATTCTGTTAAGTTTTACACACTTGCAAAACAATTAATTTCTTGGAAATTTGTAGCACTCATGTCTTTCTCCAAAGACATTCAAAACACAGACATCAAAATGCAGAGAGACCAGGTAGCATCTTGCGTTATATTTCTGGAACTAACTGATTTGCTAACTGTGTGGCAACATTACCATTTTCATTGCAGCATGTAATGAAAGAAAAACAGCTGAGAAAGAACTGTGGGGGAAACATACCTTGTAATAAGGACTTAACATCAATTTAAACCTTCCTATATCACTCAAATTCTTCCAGACCTTCACCTCCCAAAACTTCTAAAGTCACAATACATTTGAATATGTCTGACAACATGGACAGGACTATTGAGGATTTTTCAACTACACACTGAGTAGTATTCCAATGAGTATGCCAAGTCCACTTGGTAACTCTCTTCAAAGTCAGCCAAAAGCCAGCACACAGTTTTAAGTACTTTCAAATACTGGTAAGTCTCGCTTTGTTTTAAAATTTTACTGTATCAACAGTCAAACACTTATAAAGAAAAGAAAGTATATCAAACACATCAATATACATAAAAAAATCAAGATATTTCAGTGATTAAATTCACTTGCCCAGTAAAGGACATAACCAGTTCCCCTGCCCTGTACAAATTTTCTCTGGGTAGTGCCACGTGTCATTAAACCTTTTCATTGCTAGTTTAAGAGAAAAGGGAACATAGATCAGTATCTTTTCTACTCTCAACAGAAAACAGAACAAAATACTAACACAGTAAATCATAGTCAAAGCTAAGATTTATTTTAAAGTTAATTATCAATTTTTGACCATGTTTTCTTCTGGAAATAATGTAATTTGTAACATATCAAACCATTTTCAGGGAATAGTTTGATTTATATCAGAACTTACATAGAATCCAAGCACTCAACCAAGTCTCAAACACCTTAGCATATCTTCCTGGAAACCTGACTGCTGAGATGTTTGGGAATATGTAACTGAAAGCATTCCAGAGCATTTCTTGCTAGGTGAGCTGCTCTAGAAATGCAGATCATCAGTGCCCCAACTCCCAACAGCCTGTGGGGAAGGCCTGTGAAGGAGCAGAATGCCCATGTTTGGTACATTGTCTTCCACCTTCCACTGAGTTCACTGGAAGTCCAGACTCCATGGTTGCCACAAAGCAACCCAGGATCAATGAGGCACTCTAGAAACACGGCACAAGTACTTTGATATTTCTAATGATAAAAATTGTGAATCCTTTTCCACAAAAAGTTTTGGCTATTTTATTCAATTCAGGGCAACCAATGTTATATTAAGAAGTGAAATTCTGCTTTTCCACTAACTTTCTTAGGGAGGCCATACTAAAGAGCTAAAACTCATGCATTGATTTCATTGATGCCAAATACTGAGATAATTTGAGACATTTCTAACTCAAACAGTTTATGGCATATATGCAGTATATATTTAAATATGCAGCAGACTCTTTATTAGAATACAATAAAGATGAAGACATACCACACTTTTGTCCACACTGGAGCCTGTTCTGTTGTCATTGGAATTTTCTGCAGACCCACCTAAATACCTGCAAAAACATTTTTAAAGTTATATTTCAAGAGTTGTTAAAAGTAAGATGATTAAAAAAAGATTAAGATAATAGAGACATCCTAAAATATAACTCCCAGATTTATTGCTCCAAAATGTGGATAATCAAATAGCAACATAATCAGATTTAAGCACATTTAATTGAAAAATTCAATTTATTGAAAGGTTAAAGTACAAAGCTGCAATAGAAGGCCTCCAGAAAAAAAGGATTTCTGCCAAATACAATACAACCACTTTTCTTTTTTTTAATAACCATTAAAAAAATCTTTGCTTTCCTTAGTTACAACACTCTCATTGGCTTCCATCCCATAAATATTTACTCAGGCACTTATGCAGCAAGTAGCAGTAATGAAGCAAAGTCTGCAGAGATTGTGTAACTTTCAACAAAGTTACTAAGAGTTCTACACACAAAAAGTTTGCCCTGAAGCCAGTGTTCTTATTTTATATAAATATTTTCTAAAAATACCATAAATTTCTAGTTGCAATGAATGTGGAGAGTTAGGTAAATAAATACAAATTACTGCTTTCAAATTCCTTTGCTATTTGATGTGATATTCTTGGCCTGCTAACTGATCTAAAGAGACATAAAGCATCTATTAAGTGCATCAGATTATGAGAAATAACACTCCAACACATGAACTGAGAAAGATGGACACGTCCTTTTTGTTTCACGTGGATATTTCCAGATATAAAAAACCTCTCCAAAAGATCAAGGAGAGTAAAATAAAGGCATCTCCAAACCATGGTGAAATTAAACATCAATCTGGCTTTCAGACAACCAAATGACAAAGTGGAAATGAAAGTTTCCTATGGAAACAAGCTTGCTGTTTGCAGTACAAGAAGCCACCCTATTTTACACACCAGGGTTGTTGAGCAGTAAGAATGTGATACTTAGGCACAGCACCAGCTCCATCAGATCTAGAAGAGAACTCATAAGCCAGATAGGGCTACAAAGTGTTCTCAGCTGGTATTCCAGAATCTGTGTTAACATGTCCAGATACAGACTTATTTTTGTTGTAATGCTTGAACTATTTCCAGTACAAAAAGAAAACAAAAGTTAGGAATACAAGTTTAGCAAGCATGAATAGTCATTTCAGATTTTTCAAGACAATCACACCAGCAGAATATTACAGGACCAAATTCATTCTAGGCCAGCATCATAGTTCTAGTAGGCCTACAAAGTCACAATAGTAGCAGAGAGCAGCAGAACTCTTCAATGACAGCAAGAACACAGTCACTTAGCTCTCCAAATTCCTGATACTGTCCCCCAAAAGGGAAGGAAGAAATTCTGTTATTAACATGCTCCTAATATGCTACTTCTTGACAATATATTCCAAAATATTCCTGCAAGGCAAAAATGGAAACTTTTCAAAATTACAGACTAAAGTGAGAACAATAGGTGAAACTCTTGAACTGCTGAACTCACCCAAAGTGTATGGAAAGCCTACATGTCCTTCTACACCTCAGCATGGCAAAAAGTAACAATAAATCCAACTCTTTGCAGAGATGGAAAGAATTTCACCACAGGCTTGGAAAAGTGCTTCCTCTCCCATGCAAGGACGAATACCAGATTTATTTCCTTTAAGATTTTCCTATCGAGAAATGCTATTAAAACTAACAGTCTCTCTCTGACACTTTGACTAGAAGTTTTAGCCCATTTTAAGCCTGACTGACACCACAATTAAAAGCAGCTTTCCAAGCATTAAAAAGATATTTTGAATGTAGATGCACCTATCCACAGGGCCTACAATAATAATGACTGTTGAAAGCATTAATTAATACAGTTTAACTGATGTAATTTAAAAGTCTTTTAAGCAATAGTGAAAGACGTACAGCATCACGATCTCACTCTGTCAGTGGACATGTACTTAAAAAAAAGAAAAATTATGAAGCAGAAAGCAGGCAAGTAGGAAATATTTCTAGTAAGCCAAGGTTTAATTTACTACACACTGAAACACTGATGGAAAGTATGGAAACTTCATATTCAGCTCAGGGACAGTAATATGCAGTAAAACAAATGGACTTTCAAACCTTGATTCATGAGTCTACACACAATTCAGTGCTCTGCAGGCAGCTCTGCCTGGTAGTGGCAACAGTGGATTTTCTTGCTTAGCTTCTGCAGCATCACTTCTGCAGCATCTTCCCAATGCAGAATAGGACACTCAACAACACAATGGAATATTTTAAGGTAATGATGTCTAGCAGTACTTTATCATTGTTAAAGTATTAAAAGAGTGTAATTTTTAGTATTCTGAATGATTAGTAAGTATCTTAAGAGATTTAAACCTAGATATTGGTTGGTAAGAGTCAGAAAGAGTGCCACACAAAGAATATAGCATTAATTTGCTTTCTGCACACATACCGACGGTTGCTGTAGTACGTAAATCCTACAAAAGGAAGCTGGTTGCCCACAAATGCTTTTGGTATGGGAAATGTTTCTTCCTCTCCTTTGTCTTCTTCCAGATCATCAAAATTACTAGTGTCAATGTCACTACTTAAGTCAGGCACAACTGGTGCTACAGCTAGAAAAAATGCAAAACAGTACGATAATAATCAGTTCATCACTCAAGTCACTAAGAAAATTTTGCTCGGTACAGAGTAAATAAAACTGTAAACTCCTTTAAACAAAATACACCAGTCCTTTTGCTAACATGATACATAGGTAAACCAGACTATTATTTCTCAAAAAAGCACTATACTTACTGTCTCTGAGTGTTTCCCAAGCCCACTGATCATTTTTGAAGAAAAGGTGCCGTTTAATTTCTTCTACACCATTTCGTCCTAGCCTCACTTCCCTGTTGAAGAGTGTTTTGGTTAAACACATGAGATTCCATACATTATTTTGAAGGAATGACTCACTTAAAGCATAATCTAACAACAGAGACAATAAAATACCTCTCAAGCTAAAGTAAAATGTACATGTAACTCAAATGTTTTCATAAGATCTCTATATGAGCAGAGCAGCTACATTTCAGACACAGCTTGGTTTTAACTTTTGTCTATCAGAAGCTCTGCTGTTTCTGTTTCCACTATCATGGACAGCCCAGGCAATTGCCAAGTTGTTACACTGCACTCATGCCCAGGCCCTAAGAACTTCACCTCTCCTGAGCAGTTTAAAAATGCACACAAAGCAAATACTTTTTTTTTCCAACATGACAAGAAATACTCTTAATGAAGGCTTATTTTCATTATGAATAAAATATAAACCTTACCTATCAGTTAAAAAGGCACAAATGAGGTTTTTTGCCTCTTTAGAAATGTCACTGTCATCAGGGAAAGTAAGTGAGTTCTTATGGTTCATAATCTTACTGTACGTTCCAACCAAGGAATCTGCATAAAAAGGTGTATCACCTGAAAAGGCAGAACAAACATTAAAAAGCAGATCAAAATTATTGTATTTTGAATTAAATATCTGAATTACATATACAACAATGTATGCAACCAAGTGAAAAAGAGGCAAGGACAAATGTTTGAGAATTCTGCCAGAATTTTTCTAAAATATATTCTGTAAATGTCAGGATCTGTAAACCACAGCTCACGCTAGAAGAGCTGTAATGTTAAAAAAACAAGAGTGATTTTAACATGGGAGTCCAGTTAAGTAGTGCAGTCAAATCTGATGATCCTACTACTCACCTACAAGCATCTCATACAAGAAGACTCCAACTGACCACCAGTCACATTCCCGCCCATAGTAACCATCCCCTCCCTGGGACTTCAATACTTCAGGAGAGATGTAGTCTGGTGTTCCCACAGCCGTGTCACATCGTACCATTCCTTCCTACAAAACACAGGAAAACAGCCAGGCCCAAATATAAGTTCCAAAATTCCCAGTAAGTTCCATGAGCTTATGCAGCCTAAGCAACATCAACAGATCCACCTAAAATTCTGTCAACAAGCATTCTTTTTTAAATTTTTTTAAATATATTTTTGAAGTCTAAGCTGCTAAGCTACAACAAAGCACTAGATCTGTCAAACACAATGGAAGTTGCTTTAAAAACCTCAGTTAGTATCCAAGAAGTAATCAGAATTGCATCTAGGCCCTGCACACACCACACAGCCACTCATGCCAGTAAAAATTTGTCATTTGCTGACAGGATGTACTGTAAACAGTGAAAGCTCCTCTGTTAGCATAAATGGGTCAACATCAGGGATTTTGATAACAGGAACAGCTGAACTGCAAGTTTCTGGCCTCTGACCCAAGAGACTGAATGCTAGGAAGACTAAAGGTAGATAAGGCTTTGAAAATCTATGTAGAGAGACCTCAAAACAGGTAACATGAGAAGAACATTTGATGTTCCTCACACCCTTGAGAATGTGCTTGCAGAACTGAGATCAGTCACACTGGAGCTGACATGCAAAATGCTGAAGGTGTAACCACACACCCTTTTCCAGTGCCATTCAGGCACTTCTGAAATAATCCCATGCTATTCCTAGAAATGGATCAGTGGAAAAACTGGCATAAAAATACATAATTAAGCAAATAAAATTTAGTGCTGCATATGCAGCAAATCCTAAATTAAGCTCCTATGCTGAGCAGTTTTTCTTCTAGAGAATAACCTTTCGCTTTCAAAAGACTAGAGGAACCCAGACTAGGCTCAAAACTACCAGGGTTTTTACACATAGCCTGCACTTGGTTTTCATTGGTGCCTTTTATTTAGCAGCTAAGTACAGTAACTTACTCAGATCTCCTGGAATAGGATTGTATGTATTACACCAACTCTACTACCTACCACGTATTTCAGATTTCCAAATATGTTTTCCTCAAATATATGTGCAGGCTAACAAACCAAGCAGTTTTGTGTAGGGAACAACAGAGCTACACAGGACATGAATACTGTTGCTGAATTTTTTTTTTTTAATGACCTCAGAATGCATTTTTAAAAATAAATACTTCCATGACATCGGTTTCCCTCAGATTTGTCCTCAGGCTATGTCAGCAATGGCTAATAAAATTGGTATTAAGCAACTGGCATGTCAGTTTTGATTCTTTCATTTCTGGCACACTATGTAAAAATCATCTCATTTCTTTGCATTAACTTTTCATACCAAAATACTTTAAAAATAACCCTGAGTATCTAAATACAATCAAAAGCTTGACTTCAGAAAAGAAAAAAACTTCGGAAAAATTCTTCTCTAAAAAACAGAAGAACCATTTCTGCACTTTGCACTGTCACTGAATAAGATGCACGAACCACAGAATCACAGAATGATTTGGGTTAGAAGGGACCTTAAAGATCATCTAGTTCCTTTCACTAGGCCATGAAGAACAATAAGAGAACAGAGTACTCTCTTCTCATCTAGCTTAAAACTTTTCAGTATCTTTTCTTTTCACTTTTAAGTTGTTTTCCTTTCACAAACATAAAAGTCAAATCACAAACATATTATTTAAAATACATTAACCTTATAAAAAAATATATTTACCTTGTTCATCTTCATACAAGTACCAAAATCTGCTAATTTTAAATGACCAGCTTTATCTAGCAGCATATTATCAGGCTTCACATCTCTGAAAGAAAAATACGTATTTTAAAAAGTAAACATTCAATTTATCAAATTTAACTTATGAACACAATGGAAGTCAACTGCTTTTCAGATGCAACATTTTATGGAAAAACAGCAACATTACAGCACCACTATTGCCTCCACTTTTTTTGCTTTCCCTAAGTATCATGACCAACAGAGACTGCTGAACAACAACATTTTTTAAAATTAGAACACTTAAGTTACCAAATTTAATAGATCTGGACACTAATCTTGAACTTCAAGTTCCTAAAAACCATTCACTGATTATGTCAAACAGGCATTGAAAATATAGCTTCATTTCTGTACCCCTTCTATTTCAAGGGAACAACTGAATATAATTTTCAAAATTCTATTATTCAAATATTTTCCCATGACTGAAGAGGAATATTAACTTACAGCACTCTCCAAGTACTTCCACTATAGAATTTTCATAAAGTAACTGGTCAAGTGTAGCATGTTGATGTCATTGAACATACAGAAGCAGAATAGCAGTAAGAAACAATTACCAAGATAGCATAACACAAATTTCAGGAGAAAGTATATTTCAGAGATCTCAAAGGAGAACTCTGGCCATAACTGTCAGATGAAATGTAGTGCAAATGTACCAGTACATTCACAGAATAATTTTGGTTGGAAGAGATTTTTATAAGACTCTCAGTTAGCCGCCTGATCAAAGTATAGCTGCAACGTCAGATTGGACTTCAAAGTTACATTACATTACTCAGGGCCAAATCCAGGCAAGTTTTCTTTTTTTGAGGATGAAGAATCCATAACCTTTCTCTTTTACTGTTTGACCTCCCTCATAGTGGAAAAAACAACTCCTAATGAATAGCTAGGTATTCCCCTATTGCAACTTGTGTCATCCATTGCCTTTCATCTTTTCATCATGCAACTTCAAGCCTGGTCCACTTTTTTTATTAATTCCTGCTTCCTGTCCTCCTGAACACTGTTCAAGTTGTGAACAGAGACAGTGCTGATCCTGGCACCAAACCTCGGGGGAACTGCTGGTAGCTGACTGCTGCTGGACAGCACAATCTACTCTAGACAGTTTTGCCTGTTCAAACTGTGCCTTTCTAACCCAGCTGTATCTACAACCTGGATGAAGTCAAGACAAACGTACTCTGCCTCATCAGTGAAGCCCATCATCTCAACACAGAAGGTAATTGCTTTGGGAAGGCATGTATTGCCCTTCATAAATCCATGCAGGCTGCTCACCATCACCTCTCCACCCACATGCTTGGAAACTGTTTCCTGACAATTTAATCCAACTGCCCTCAGGCTGCCTAGCCTTCAGCTCCTCTGACTCCCTCCTCCCAGCCCTTCTTGGGGTGAGACAAGTGTGCCATTTGTTTCCTTCCAGTCATCTGGAATCTCCTAATTCCAATACACCCTCCAAGGTGACAGAGAGCAGTATCATAATGCTACTTGGCAGCTTCCTCACCACCCATGGCATGTCCCACCGTGTGCCCCAGATATGTGCATATGCAGTTTGCACAACTGGACTCAGCTTGGCCTTCCTCTGCCAGAGCAATGCTTTCCTCTCCCAAGCTCTGCCACTGGGCACAGGACCCAAGGGGCCAGAAAGCAGACCTTATCAAAGAAGGCTGGGCAAAGGCAGCAGCCTCAGCCATTCCCATGTCCTTTGTCACTCAGGCCCTGACCCATTAAGCAGTAGGCCCATATTTTCTTTAGTTCCTTTTCATTCATCAGAGTTGAACAGGTTAACTGCCGGGGAAAACAAATTTTAAAAAAAATCTCCTGGTGTCAAAATAATCTAAATTTTCATGAAAAAAACCTCTCTGTGCTGCTGGCATCTTCTAATGCCTGCTTTCTAAAGCTTGCAATACACACATACAAATGGTTCATTCAGCCAGATAATTTACCCATTAGATGCAGCATAGCTCCATAATTAATGATGCTCTAGATCCTACTCAAGCAATGGATTAGTAGTTTATGTTGCTTTGTGTTAGCCTTTTTTGCAAAAGCTTATGTGTTAACACTGATCTTGTGAACAAATTACAAACTGAAAATGTATATACTATAGTGTATACCACACACTACTCAAATTCTTCCTGTATTTTCTGTTGAAAAATTTATTCTTCTGCTCCCAGTTAATATAATTAAAAGCTAGAAACAGATACAAGTTCAAATATCAAAAAGAAAACTTCTCAACCTATCCAACAAAAAACTACATTTCACTTTAGGGCAAGTACATAATATGAAACTAATCCAAGTCCCTTTGCTCTGCATCTCAATTTTCCATCTTGCCCCTCACAAGAAAACATATGGCTGGGAGATTTTCTTCACATTGTTCACAGATTCTTGTTTAATGGGTCAGTGAGGCTTCAAATGCCTAGCAGAGAATTAATTCCTAACAGTGGATACTACTGTGATCAAATTCCCTAAACAGCTTTTTCTAATCAAAAGAAAAGAACCGTTTTGGGGCCAACATGCTCACACCATTTTTGTTCGTTACCTCTTGGTAAAGCGGGACAATTTTATTGCTCCCCAAAAAGAGGAACATCAGTCCCCTGAAAACCTTTTCTTTGACTGCATTACCTCAGACTTACAGTTTCTGATGGCAACAATTTTTCAATTTCTAAGACAGAGTAATTATGGAATAATGATAAAGAAGTAGTATCCTAAATTTTAAAACTGCCTAAACTGAAGTAATTCTGGCAGCATCAGGAAATAAACAACCCTGTGTAATATCTTTTTCTTTCTCACCTGTGTATAAAACCCATTGAGTGAATTGCATCTAATGCAAGTACAACCTCAGCAGTATAAAACCTCGCCCACTTCTCTGGAACATCGTAATTACTCATTAAATTCACCAGGTCCCCACCAGGCATGTATTCCATCACCATGTACAGGTATCGGTCATCTTGGAATGCGTAAAATAACTGCAAAAAAGCAAAACCAAAAAATGAGCCAGTTTTGTTCTTTGCTTGTTGGCAAATCAAAGGCATTTCTGTGCAAGCTGATTTCCAAAGTAACAGAATTGCTACAATAACTGCAGCAACTCTGCATCATTCAGCAAACCTCCTAAAAAGAAGTTAACCTCTAGAGCCAGATCCTCCATCCCCTTATATTACCCTGGAAAAAGTAGAGTTCTGGTTACAAATTATGATTAGTGAATTTGCTACAATGAATTTTGAAATCATTTCAAAGAAAGCTCATTACATTTAGACAAATATCTTTTCCTTCTCACTGGGATGATAGTGGACCCACATACAAAGACAAAATTACTCTGTTGCAAACATCTGCCCCATTCTATTTGTATTATCAATAAATGTTTATTTTTCTATTGTCAACATTTATTTATTATATAGAAAATGAGCCCAAACTTTAAACAATAAAAATATTTCCTTTAAAGTTGCCAGTCCTCTGTTCAACATGAGTAGTGTAAGCAGATTTTTCTTTACTTAAAACTGGATGAAATTCCTAAGATTTATTCTGCACAATCACACCCAGACAGATAGTGAAGCAGTTACCCATTTGACTTGGGTAAATCTTGAATGAGTTTGTGTCATTCCAGCCTAACAGAAGAATTTATATGCTTAAGGGTAAGAACAGTTTAAATTGACAAGATGACATGTGCACACACAATGCTCAGTGATTGGTTCAGGCATGTTCCTCAGAACTTCAAAGGCAGCAGCGCCTCCCAGGAAACTGTCAGTGAGAACACTGAAATGGGGAAAAAATAACCAGAGCAGGCCTAATTTGCAAAGATACACACAGAAATTAATATTTACAGAAGCTCTGTCTTAAGTATCTCTTTCTGGTATGCTTACTGGTATGCTGGATGATCCAAATAACTACTACAGAGCAGATGCACCAAAATATATCTGGCAAAGAGTTTTGATAATAAAGAGAATAGTTTATCATGTAAATGTGACAAAATACAGTTCGAAGCAAGTGTTATACCTGCTCTTTTGTATAGCATTGCTGTACAAAATTGCTATTATCTTAGTCACGTACACCCTAGCAGACCAAAAAAAACCAAAAAAGAGACTTCAAAATGTGTAATTCCAGGTCATGCAGTGTTGCAACCAAACTATTCTATAATGACAATATTTTAAAAGTAGTATCACTTTACCTGAACAACCCACGGACTATTAGCAAAAGCCATAATATCCCTTTCTTCCCAGAAGAATGCAGAATCAGATCTTTTTATCATCTCAAATTTGCTCAGAAGTTTCATAGCATACACTCTCCTTGAGGATTTATGCCTTACCTGTGAAGACAAATGTGACACACAGAATTAGTATGCCATATTGACACATGAAGAACATCACTGAAAATGTTACTTTTCCTGCTTTACTATTTAACACATTTTGTAAGACTCTTCACATTACTATAAAGGATTCTATACTGTACATACACAAAATAATTATATCTGACAATGCATTACTTTTAAAATACTTGCTAGAACTTTTTAACACAGAAGTCCATAGGCATGGGAGTCACATAATCTGCATGTATGTGCCTTTAAAAGGACAAATATTGTCAGTTACTGATGTTAAATACCATAAAGTTAAAACTATAAGCATTTTCCAGAGCTCATTAGCAAATGTGTATACTGGCTGCTGTATCTCCAGTTTCTCCCACCAGCACTCGATTAAATAAAGCAGGATTAACAAGCCTGGCTGCTAACCTATCACAAACAACACACATCTCTCATCTGTGAGAACTATGTCCACAAAAATCTGGTGTAGTCCCTGAACTGGCAGAAACTCTTCTAGCCCTTAAGACTTCTTCAAGTGTCCATGTAAACAGTGGTGGTAAAGGCTAATTTTCTTGATTATGAGTAATACACATTCCATTTTAAGAGAGAAGACTACAATGCAAAACAAGTACTTGTGCAATTGGACAGGACTGAAATAGGACATTTTCAAAAAACATTTCCATAAATTGTAAAGGAATAAAATTTCACTGAGCCAAAGGCTTTAATATTTAAGACTGCATCTTCTGTACACTACACTGAGAAACAGATGCATGAGCAAATACTACAGAATACATTCAAATGTACAAATAGAAACTCAACTTACCAACTGAACCTCCCCAAATGCCCCTCTACCGATCACCTTCACCACTTCATAATCTTCAGCTTTCATGCGTAGATCTCTCATTTTATTTACTGTGTCTTTATCTACATGGAACAAAATTTACATTTCTTATATAGCCAACTTAATTAAACCCATTTGTCTAACTTCAATTTTCCATAGTTTTTATAGAAGAACTGCTGCTCACAGAACCTACATTGCTATTGAAAAATTCTCTGCAAGAATACATGACTTTATTCTCACAACCAGTTACCAAAACCTGATATAAGCTGATGCAATGACTCTACCGTACAATCCTATTACAGGAGATCTTAATTTAGAAATTTCGTTAAAAATAATTATCTTAAAAAAAAAATAAAAAGCTATGCAAAACTTTCATATCCAGCATGATCCTGCTTGCAAGCTGATCAGTATACAAATATTATTTCTGAATAAATATGCAACACAGCTGGGAAAGTGTATAAGAAAATATACTACAAGACACTTGAAAAAATATTTTTTGAAAAAAGTTATGCTTTTCTGCACTTTCATGATTCCTAATATTCAAAAAAGTAGATTTTAATTTAAAACATGCAGTGGGAATCACTGCAATTATTTATATAAACCTGTCAATCTATAAACTAGAATAATTTACAAACTCCCAGTGGGCAGATATTCTAATTCTAATTCCAAATTTGGTAAAAGATTAAAACAGTCTATTTTAATCCATGTGGGTCAACACTGGCATGAGACTACGTAGAAAAGCTTCATGCTTTAGTATTTCTAAAAGCCAGGAAGTTCTACTAAAACAGATATGCTTCTAATAAAAAAATAATGCAATGGTATTTTATTTTCAAAAATAGTATTCTAGGCCTAAAAGCAAAGTTTAGAGAGAAGTAAGGGCAGGGGAAGAGAACAGAAGAGAAACAGGATATTTTAAGTTCATACACTAAAAACTGACAAAACAATTAACAGAAAATTATCATTAGATTTCTACCTACACAGGCCACAATCTAAAACAAAAGCTGCCTATCTACAATAAAAATTCAATAAGATTTTATTACCTCAAGAGAAACAAACATAGTTCTGTTTGAATAAATACTCTGCAGCATTATTATCTAATATAAAGTAACCATTTGCAATGCAGCATAGCACAGGCTTATTCCGGTAAATTATAGCAAAATTTTAAATTCTGACAAATTCTTCCACATAAGGATCAAAATATTCAATAGTTCCAACAAATAATGCATTGCCTTATTTGCCCTGGTGACAACTGGCTTACAGAAGAGGAGGAGCAAGATTGCACAGAACTAAAATGCAGCAATTTTCGTGACAGCAATTTTCGTGACAGCAATTTTCTAGCTATTGCTAACTTCCTCCCCAGTAATCTCACAACAGGAGGTTCCCCTCTTCTGAACAAAAAAGCCTAAGCACAATATGAATCCTTTAAATGGTATTCAATCACAAGCATTGCCTTTGAACAAAGCAGAATTAAGGCAAATACATCTGAAGAGCAAGCTAAACTAAGGATTTTAAAATTATGTAAGCCAAGCTTCTGATCAGTTGCGAATTGAAATTTACTGCTTGAGATACATACTAACACTCAGTTATTTTCAGAGACCATGTTATAGTAACAAGAGTGTTGGAAATTCGACCTCCACATTCTAGATCTGTTAAACAAGGTTTATCAGGCTGCAATAAACCTCAATAGGCAGTTCCTTATCTCCCAGGACCAGTGGAGGACCTGCCCAGTTTATGCTGTATGAACAGCTGGGGTGGCTCCCATGGCAAAATCACCCTCTCCCAACTTGCCCTGAACTTTGGGTATAGGCTCAGATGCTGCCTTGAAATAAACTGAGTCACCACTGCAAAGCAGGACTCTCAGACACCTGCAATACTCATTTCTTCATTCTTTCAATTCTATATGGTAGAGAAACAATAAGGTTCTACATTTGCAAAAATCATCCTCACAACCTCAGCCAGTAGAGGCAGATTTTGGAGGCTCCACAAATATACAATGTAAATTAGGGAGAAGTAAAGAGGGGATAAGGAGTAGTTCATAGGGCAATCAGTCTACAAAATAAAGGAAGCAAACTCCCATTTTATTTGCCATAATAATTCTGCAACCAGACAGCTGATACTGCAGAAAGATATTTTAAACAGTCTCCTAATAAAATAAAATAAACATGAAATTTTTTTAATAGAAATTCAAGGCAAACTAAGACTTCACAGTTCTCTCTAAGGCCACTACTCACACATCCACAGCTTGCTTTCATATTTCAGCAAACACTGCAAGTTAATGTTTCAAAGGCAGTTTGAAGGGAACTAATGTGTTCTGTTCTCCACCTTCAGATTACTTCAGGTCACATCTTACACAGTATATAATTTATACCTAAAAGATATTCATTATCAGGTTGTAAATGTAAAAGTTTTCTTTCACTCAGCCCCCATTGCAGAAGTGAAGCTTTCTGAGACACACTAATGATTTCACTACTCATAAAAATTACATTCAAATTATCTGTTGCAATGAGTATTTCCTTTGCCTGATATAACTTCTCTTTTCTCCAAGAGTTTCACCACACCTTCTCAGTAAATAACTGAGTATACAAAATGTGCATGTAACTCAGCATATGGTATCAATACAGTTTGAACTGTGAAAAGTTAAACAGAACATTTGAGCTTAGGCTTTCAGTAACCAGCTTACGTGCAAATGAGCCATCAAAGAGATCTAGTGGACTCAAATATTCACACAAATGGAGATTAATGTAAAATAATCACCACAAATTCACTATTACAGGTTACAGTTGCACCCAATAAACCATTTGAAAACACCATGGAAACAAAAAAAAACCATTCCACATAAATTTCAAACCAAAGACAAAATTATTTTAGTCAAATTATTTTGTATTTACAAAAAACCCACTTTTATTATAGAATTGCATTGCTTAAGCCTGTAAAGATTTAACAGTATTAGCTTAATTTCAAGTTTTGCCCATTTAGTCTACAGGCAGAAACAAGTCTTCAATCAGCAAACATTGCTGCCATGATCTTCAGAATTTGCCAGTTTGGCAGCCTTCAGATAAGTGTTGATTCATAATTGCCTTTTCTGGGGTTTTCTTTGTTTGTATCTTGATTTTTTTTAAACTATGAAAATTATGGAACTCATTTCTATTTAAAAATCAACTTTACTATTTTAAAATGTTGTTATAGGGTATAATGTGCAGGAAATCTTGCAGTGGAAAAATACAAAGTAAATGCAGAGAATTCTGCAGACACATCAGCTGCATACACAAGTAAATGCACCAGCCATGCAGTGTAAGATTTTCATTAAAAGAGACCTTTTATACCAAAAAACCCAAAGGCTTACAAAATAATGCTCCAATTCTGTTAGTGAACAAATATTTAATATGATTCCATGACATTGTACACATCAATAAGCCATTTTATTGCTAATTGCTTATGATATCCTAGTACATGAAAATAGAAAACAAGTTATGGGAATCTAGGGAGTTGCCCTAACAAAGACAACAGGCCTTTCTCTTAAAAGGCTTTGTGCCACTTCAGACAAGGCCATTTACAGGGGCAACAGATTGGACATTCAATTGCTGGGGATGAGATTTGCATAGGCAGCTGTCACTGCTCAGTGGGAAATAAATAAATAAGACTCTTGCACCCAAAAACTCAGTGCACTCCAAACCCCTAGCTGCCTTTCAAACAGCTAGAACAGGTGTTTTCTTTTTGATATTACAGACTTCTGTTATTTAGTAAATTAAACATTAAATACTTACACCTGTTTAAGAAGTTATCAATGTTCTTGTTTTTTCTTAAGGCAGGAAAATCCAAGTCATATACCAAAGCATCTAATCCATCCTGAAAAAAAAAAAACAAACAAAACAACAAGCAAAATTAAGTATTTGAAAAAATAATTACACATGCTGCTAACTAAAGAGCCAAGTAAAAAAAAAACAGTTGTCCCTATCAATCTTCCATGCAAATGAAATCATTCACATTTATTTAATGACTGTTAGCAGTTATGTGAAGCAGCTGTTACTCCTTCACTTCCATGGGACTCATCAAAATTTAATTCCATATGCTTCTATGTATGATTACCTTAATTAGCTCCATACTTACATGAAAATAATTACTTTTTCCAAATACAAAAAAGAATAGCAGTTCTAATGAAGTTCAGTAATATTAAAAAGTCACAATGCATCACACAGTAGGCACTTGAACATGAAATGGCAACTGGCAAATAGAACAAAGATGGTAATTTAATTCACAAAATCAAACCCCTGCATTTTATCCACTGAATTCAGTGTGAATTCTCATGAACAAGATGTTGGCTTTATACACTCCTATTTAAGTCTAGAAACAAACAGCCACAAGCCCATCTGGCACTACTACCACAGCATACATCCCTATAAACAAAAGCAAACCAAACACCATCAGGAAACCCAAACACAACAAAGAAGGAGATAGTTTTAAGGGCTTGTTAAGTGCTGTGAACTTTGGGACTTACAGTTTAAGTCTAAGTTTGTCACTAGGTATTAATAACTCCTCAATGGGTTGCATCTTCTTGGAGAAAAACTAAACCCAGTTTTTTTGGCTGAAAACCACAGATATGGCTTTGACTTGAAAATGATCAAGGATTCTAGGAATTATGTAACAAAGAATCAAAGTGCAGTAGGGAGTCCTCTCTCCCTCAGGTAAGGGTAAGTGACAACTGCAAAAACAGAGAGAAAGGTCCTAAAATACAAATTGATGAATGCTACCAAAGTATGCAAGAGATGTAATTGTCCATTCATAGCTAGGTGTTCATGTTACCTATTTTTAACCTGCTTGGAGTGAGATATTAGACCAGACATATCTTTGATCTGATCAGTTCAGATCTGACTAGACCTAATTTGATTGCTTTCAGCTTTTAAAAGGATTTTCCTATCCTTTTTTTCACGATTGAAAACTGATCCATAAGTCTTTGCTAAGTATATCAAGTAACTATGCATGAACAAAAGGTAGAGCACAAGCTTTCTGAAAGCTTATTTTCCAGGAATATATAGTGGAGAACACATTTGATTTAGACTGAAATATTAGTCTTTGATCTTTCACTTCAAATTCAAACCTATATTTCACCTCAGTCTTCACAACTGACTTTTAACTATAAAAAATCCCAAGTGCTATCAAAATCAAATTATTTCCTGGCTTGCAGTCCTCAGTTTTAAAGTATGTGAGACAGAAATTATTTACTTCAGATATAATAAGGGTAAGCAGTAAAATCACGCTAGAATTTGAACACGGGTACCTGCGAGGATAATCAGAATTACTTTAAAGGCTGGATATTATTAAAATTGTCAATTTCATAAAAATATTCCGTTTTTTAGCTACCTTTGCCTGCAGTGGCTCATTTTGAACTAAGAAATGCTAAAATGAAAATAACACAAATCAAGAAAAGCATTGCAGTATTTCACTTCTCTAAAATAAAGGCAGTTTTGCATCTTGTGCACTAAAGGATCATCTTTTTGGACTGACACTGATGATGAAAAAAGAAAACAAATTGCAAGGAAACAACATTAAACCAGTCAGTACTAGAAATAACAAAGTAAGAGGCCAACAACAATTTAGACTCAAGGCAGTTACAGAAATAAAACTATGAAGGTAGGGTAACTAATTTGGTGAGAAATACTTTGCAAACTACTAAAAGACACCTCTTCCAATGACACATGGTAAATATCCAGGAAATCCAGGAAAAAACTTAAATTCTCTGGTTCTGTTGAATAAATTTAAGGGTGAACCATGATAACTGCTTGCACAGCAGTACAAAGTCCACCAGCAGCTTCTGTGCCTTTATCTCCATGCTGTGTGAAGCAGTAGGAAAACACCAGCTAAGAAGCTGCTGGGTCCCATCCAGTGATTTTTAAAAGCAAATTAGAGATGGCAATGAACTATCGAAATCTGGGGTTCAATCTGCTGTGAAGCCTTCCAACCTGTAGAGTCAATTGATTTGTCCAGGTCCACAGCTAACACAAAACTTCCCCATGCCAAGCAGAAGCACAAAATTATCAAATCCTGGTTGGCTCTGGGGTTGTGCAATTATCTGTTTCAATTCAGGGCTTGCTTCAAAAGGCAAAATTCAGTCTTACTTTACAGAAAGAGAGGTTTTAAACACCAAATACAAGAAATATATGAAAAATGGCAATATGTTTAAATTAATAACATTAATCTTACTTTTGTATCATACTTTTTCTTTCAAAATACTAAAATATAAGCCCATGCTAAAGAAGCATAAAGTACAGAAAACTTCATGGTTTCCTTGGTGTCTCAGGCATGTTAGGTATTTTGTTGTGTTATTTTTAAAAGTTTTAATTTAAATATGGGGAAAAGTATACAAATTCAGTTTTAACATGCAAAAGCAAATTTCAATACTGTTTAATTCAGAATTCACCATATACAAAGTTTCCTGTTCTGTTCTTAACCTTCCAGTTCTTATATATGAACTCTATCAATTAAAATACTTAACAACTCTGAAATACAGATTTAAGCTCTTGATCTTCCATTCATTTGAAATCATATTTCATGATCATGCAAACAATATCTAAGGAAGCTACATGCCAAGAATTGCTTATTTAAAAGGCTCTTCAAGAATCAGCTCCCTTTCATTACAGTATCCAGAGAATAAACTGGTTCAAAACTCCCATTAAAAAAAGGTAAGGATGGGTGATATTCTGTAATTAAAGAGACTTGCAAATCCTTAACTCTCAAAACAATTCTTTTCTTGAACTGAAGTAAGTTTCTGAAGAAAAAAAGACCTTGGTATTATTTTAGTGTCAGACTGCAAATATAAGACTAAGCTTGAAGCAATTTTTGGAATCATAATTAATGGAAGTAAAATACTTGGGATACCTAGTGTATAACAAAAAATATGAAACAGCCTTAGTTACATTAGCTAAAGCAGAAGAACTTGCAAACACTACAAGCTGTCCCAGCACAAAGGGAAGCACAGAAGCACAGCTATTTTTAAATGGTATCACTAGAGGACAAACAGGGAGGAGTACACAAGCTCAGAGTGAGTCTGGTTCAAAGTGGAGCGGGTCAGAGAGATGGGAACACACTATGGAGTTGTAGAAATAATGCCTTGCAGGGAAAGGGTTAAGTCCAAATGGACATGATCATTACTGCCAGTGGCTGCTGAGATAGCTCATCTCTCAACTTTCTTCACTGCATCTTGGTCAAGCTTTCAATATGTCATCTGACTTTTCTGGCAAGACAGAAAGGAAGGGGCATCACCTTTCCATCAAGACCTACAGCAGCCATGCTCTTCTCCTCTTGAAGGATGACAAGATGTCATTATAACAGGCAACCATGCACCGTATTAAACAAGACAGCCTCAATTTTATGATGGATTTTTCCTCCACTTGGATGGGTGCCATGTATGTATCTTTAAATACAGCTCATTCCATATTTCTTGGAAACATATATTGTGGCTTAGAGGTATTTTCAGCTAACACTAAGTTCTACCTATTTTGTCATTACAGAGCAATTTTCCTGTTAAGCCTTCAGACCTACACAGACATTTTCCTTGTAACAGTTAAATTAGATTACTAAGATAAATTGATCTATACCTCCACTTACATGGTAATAGTATTTCAGAGGTGATTAAAAAAGAACAGGGAAAAAACTTCTTTTCTAATGTTCTTCAGTCAGTTTCATGATCTGATACAGCCTTTTCTATATCACATTCATTCAATAGTTTCATTATCTGTTTAGAAGACCTCATATCATCCTTAAATTTTAAAGAGGGCACACTAGGGAGTCATTACAAAATGCAGAGTTCTTCCTTATGAAACCAACAGTTCAACATACTCTGTTGGTTGAATTTTGTTCATTAATACACCGTAATTAAAAGTTTAAAAGGCATAGTTATATGGAATAAAACCAAAGGTCAGTCTAGATGCATAGACTGGCTCTGGAGGTGATAGTAGGAGTGTCCAGGAAAGAGGATACGAGCAAGCACTGCTCAGCTGTATGTGTGAGCCAGAAATGGCACTGTCACAGCTAACTATGATGAACATTTTCTAGACAACATTTTTTTGGTGATTTTTGTCTAAATGTTTTCTCTGTTTTAGTTTCTTGCTCTTACAGCATTGCACAGATATGAATTTCACCACCTACAGGCTATACAAAAGCGTACCTCATCTCAAGCTTACCACTCTTCAGCCAAAGAAGGGACAATGACTCTTTACCCACCTCCCCCAAGACACAGCTTTACACACTTGAAGTATTTCACCACTGGCCAACTCTCTTCCAATTATCCTTGGATGAAAGTTATTTCAATTCCCTCCATCAGCACCCTCTGATGATTTGTTACTTCCACCATGTACTTTTTAACTGGAGCAGGGGCACATAGGGAGAAACTGCATGTTGTATTTAAGTTGTGAGCACACCCTAAGTACACAATGCATTACAACAGTTCCTGTTCTGTGCTTCATTATATTTCCAGCTCTTCACTGAAATATCTGCTTAGTTTTTATAGTCACTGTGTATTAGATTGATTCTTTCACAAAACTAGGCATTAGAAATCAAAGCTAGTTCAACATAAGTAAAGATGAGAGGTTTTTCTCCCATGCACTCAATCAACATTCAAAGACAAATTTTACCTACCACTTTTAATCAGCCATGCACAAATTATTAATTTCTTCTTTGACTTGCTAGATCTTTAATTTTTACTGCTCTACCATCATAAATTGATCATTATTCACCATTTTATATCCCTTATGACTTTGAAATACCACACACCTGGTTAAACTTCATTACCAATCTGTTTTGAATACACTGCTCACCAGCTTTCCATCTATTCATCCATTCATACAAGTAGC